TCCAAGGCTCTGAACTGCCTTCCCCTCCCAGCTCCTTCTGGCAGCCCGGTGCAGCGAGAGCCCACTGGCCGGGAGGTCAGGAGACCTCGGGGACAGTCACAGCATTTGCAACAACAGAAAAGGGAGGAGCTGAATCTAAGATTTCACAGAATTTATCTTTGACCCCCTCCCTGTCCTCTTCATTTAATATCTTGCCAAAAACAAGTCAATTCTTCTTCCACATCATCTCATGAACAACCTCATATCTCCCTCTCCCCAGCGCCCCGCCCACCATGGCACGCTTCTGTTCCCTGAGCCGCCTCCCTGCCTGGACCACCTCACGGGGCTGTGTCTGCACCCCTGCACAGTCCCCTCTCTCAGCACCTCAGAGCCTCCCTGACCCTGTTTCGAGAGGCCTTTCTGGGTCTGCTCTACCGTGCTGCCTGTGCCCACCTGTCCCACTGACATGCCCACACCTGGGAAGTCTGCCTTTGCCTGGCCGTGCGACCTCCTCCGGTTACCAGGGCCTCCATGGAAGAGCTTTCTACCCTCCAAGTACTGTCTCAAAAGTTCGGATGAAAACAGGGTTCCATAACAAATCTGACAAGTCCAGTGACTGAAAGTAAGCTCCAGCGTGACCTGCTCATAAATTCCCAACTGGGCAGGTCATGGTGGGCAGTCACACCCCAGGCCTGTAACTTCTTTGGTCAAACTATCCCGTAATCCAACGTCTGCCTTGCTTTGCCCCACTTCCTTCCTTCCTTTCTTTTTAAAAATGATTTAGAGAGAGAGAGAGAGAGAGAAAGAAAGAAACATCAATTTGTTCCACTTATTTATGCATTCGTTGCTGATTCTTGTATGTGCCCTGACCAGGAATTGAACCCACAGCCTTGGTGGATCCAGTTGACGCTCTAACCAACTGAGCAACCCGGTCAGGGCGCTTTCTCCCACTTTCCTGTAATCTTCCTTGCTTCCCTCCTCAATTCTAAATGCAGGAAAGAAATGGCAAAACTGTCATTCTTCAGAGCATTGGGCATCTTGCTTCCCAGCATGGGATCAGTTTGGGCTCAAATAAACTCTTACAAAAATTCTCTAGAGGTTTGGATGTACTTACGTTGACAAAAGCCGCTTCCCGAGTGAGGTCTCTCCTCAGGTCTCCGGAAAGGTCAAGTGTGTCCTTGCTCTGAACCTTCATCTTTGTTAAATTAAAGAAAGCACAGGCCCCGGCGGGCGTGGCTCATTGGACTGAGTGCCAGCCTGTGAGTAGATGCTGGTTCAGTTCCCAGTCAGGGCACAGGCCTGGGGTGCAGGCCAGGTCCCTGGTTAGGGGTGCACACTGATGTTTCTCTCCCTCTCTTTCTCCTTCCCTTCCCCTCTCTCTAAATATAAATAAATAAAAATCTTTTAAAAAAGAAAAAAAGCACGGGCCCCAAATGGTGTCACTCATGTTAAAGGCCCATGATACTGTGGACAAAAGAATATCTAGCTTAAGAAAAAGTCTTACAAGAGCTTATCTGAGCCAAACTGACGACAATCACCAGGGAGCAAAACCTCAGGCAACTGAGAAAATGCTCCTGTGAATGGCAGTTTTACAGCTTATTTTATACACTAACATCACAGGAGGAGACCTAAGGGGGTTGCATGAAATCCACTGGCGGTAAGTTAGGGAGGCGGGAGAAAGCAAAGAGGGGAACCTCCAGGACTGGATGAAAAGTAAAAGAAAGTGACACATACCTCGTTTACACTGGAGGGCACAGGACAGTTAACATTCACAGCACACGGAGGTGGTGTGACGGAGAGCAAGTTAACACCGAGGGCTCTGGGGTCTTGTGCTCTGGTGGGCGTCTGTGTCCCTGGGGCGTCTGGGAAAAGGGGTCACTTTGAAATACCAAAGGTCTGTTTTCTTAGGTACACAAAGACTCCAGACAGACTCACTGGAGGTAAAGACTGACTTTTGTCAAGGAAGCTACAGGCTTGGGATGCGACTACCTGTCATGACTCGCTTTCGGTTAGGAAATTTTAGTTTCAGACCATCCTTGGTGGTTACTCTTTAGGTCTCCGAGTTTGTGGGGCCGCTATGCCGGCCTCCCTGGAGCTTGTCAGGTGTGGCCTGTGGCCCCTTTTAGGCCCCAGTAACAAGTAGATTTAATAGCTGATGTCACTGCTGTTTCAACTGTTGACTTAAGAAACGTCAAAGCCTGCAGAGAATTTTTATGGAAGTTTGTTGGAGCCGAACTGACAGCAATGCAGAGGAGCAAGATCTCAAATGCGCCCCGGAACAGCAGTTTATGGTTTCTTATGTGCATTTGCGATTAAGGAGGAAAAGTAAAGACATGTGAATCTGGGAGAAAGCAAGGCGGGGGGGGGACCAGATTACTGGATTGTTTACAAAACTGTGTGCTCTCTTGGGGGCAGGCAGTCATGGATTAGAAAGAGGGGTCTAATGTGAGGCATTTCAAAGGTGTGTTAGCCCAGATGCACAGGGCTTGCTTAAGGCAGAGATAAAACTTCTACTAAAATAGTTATAGGCCTGGGGTGTGACTACCCACCGTGACCTGCCCAGTCAGGAATTTATGATCAGAGCACCCGGTGAAGTGACTTTCCTTAGAAGCCCTTTTTCATCCACAGCCTCTCACAGGAACAGATTCTTAATCAACCATTATGGAATTTCCTGGTCAAAAACCGGTAAATACTCTGCCACATGGACTCTCACCTACCCTCATAGGAAGAACAGGCAATTTGCATTTAAAAAAATGAAAAACAAACAAACAAAACCCCACCAAAACCCCAAACAAAAATGATTCCCCTTTTCTTCTCCAGGAGAAAAGATGTCCTGGCAGGAGGGTGGGGGTGTTGGGTGGGGGTGGGTGCAGTTGTGGAGGGATCTGATCAAAAAAGAAAAAGGACTCGTGGACAGGGATGGACAGCAGTGCGGTGACTGGGGATGGGGCAGGGGGCGGAGATGGGAGCCGGTGCAGGGAGGATAACTGGTCATGGAAAAAAGGAAGAAAGAAAAAAAGAAAAGATCCTCCTTTGGGGGAGTCTGGCCTCAAAACACTCCTTTCTTTTCCCTCACTAATAGCTCCCCCACCCACCCTTCTTCCTATAAAAACCTTCCACTCTGCACAACCCCTCAGAGCTCCCTTCCAGTTGCTTCGTGGGATGCTGCCCAACTCATGAATTGCTTAATAAGGATCTTTAAATTGACTCAGTTGAATTTCATTTGTTGTTGTTGTTGTCCTCATTTTTTTTTAAATATTTTATTTATTTAGTTTTTAGAGAGGGAAGCAAGGGAGAAAGAGAGAGAGACAGAGAATCATCAATGTGTGGTTGCTGGGGGTCATGGCCTGCAACCCAGGCATGTACCCTGACTGGGAATCGAACCTGCAACACTTTGGTTCGCAGCCCACGCTCAATCCGCTGAGCTACGCCAGCCAGGTGTTGTCCTCATTTCTTTTTAAACAATTTTTAGCCCTATCAGACTGGGGGCTCCTCAAGGGCTGACACCCTCAGTACTTACTGAATTTTCTTCACCAGACAAGTTCTCGGAAGTGTGGCACTTCTACCATCAGGAATGAGGATGAAAAAGGGCTTCCATGAAGTCACCTCACAGGGTGATCTGATCATGAATTCCTAACTGCCCAGGTCAGGGAGGGGAGTCAGACCGCAGGCCTGCAACTTCTTCGGTAAAAGGTTTATCTCTGCCTGGAGCAAGCCCTGCCCACTCTTTCTGTGCAGCTAGATTAACACAGTTTTGAAATGTCCCTGTCAGACCCCTCCTTCTAATTTGAGCAATACGTAACCCAATCCCCCCGCCTTCCCGTAATCTTCCTCATTCCCCTCCTTAATCTCAAATGCATAAAAGAAACTGCAAATTGTTATTTTCAGGAGCATTTGAGATCTTGCCTCTTGGCATATGCCATCCGTTTGGCTCAAATAAACCCATAAAAACTCTCTGCAGGTTTGGATGTTTCTTAAGTCCACAGGAAATGGTAAGGACAGCATAGTAGACGAGGAGTTATGAGCACAATGTCTTTATTTTTTATCTATGAAATCCACATAACATAAAAGTAACCATTTCAAAGTGTGCAAGCCAATGACTTTAGCATACTCACGATGTCGTGCAGCCACCATCCCATCTGGTTCCAGAACACTTTCCTCACCCTGAAGGGAGAGCCCACGCCCTCGGAGCAGTCAGTCCTCATTCCTCCCTCCCCCAGCCTCTGGCACTAATCGGCTTTCTGTCTGTGGATTTACCTGCTTCCTGGACCATACATGTGGCCTTCTGTGTCTGGTTTCTTCACGTAGCATAATTTTTTGGAGGTTCATCCATTTGCAGCATATATCAGCACTTCATCTCTTTTAACGGGTGAATAATGTTCTGTTGTATAGATATACCACAACGTGTTTATCCATTCATCAAGTGATGGACAAGCTGGGCTATGTCTGCTTTTTGGCTATTGTGAGTACTCCTGCTACAAACATCGACGTGTAGGTACTTGTTGGAATTCCCGTTTTCAATTTTGGGGGCATATACCTGGAATGTTATTGCTGGGTCAGAAGGTAACTCTATGTTTAATTTTTGATGAAGACACCGTTGTTTTAATTTTTTTCAATCTGAATGCCTTTAGATCTCCAACTTGGTCTCCAACTCTTCTACTGTCGTACATCCAAGTGTTTGACTCAAATTATTTGGCCGCTGAAGGCATCTGAATTTGCTGCCCCTAGAAAGCTTTGGTGACAAAAAAACTTAGCGCCCTATTCAGCAGCTAAGGAGCAAGAGACCTTGGGTAAATCTCTCCACCTTTCAGGAGTACTACCTTGCTCAGTCTCAAAACGAGATAATTTTACTTACCTGAGGACTGGAAGATCAGGGGAGGTGAGGGACGAAACTCGCCTCTTCTGAAGCTATTGAGTTCTGAAAACAGAGAGGGGCGGGCGAAATTAGAAGGAGGAGCGGGGCGAGTGAGGCGGGCGGAGCGTGATCTGCGGGCGTCGGCCGCGCTCGGGGTGAGTACTAGACCGGGTGCGAACGCACTAGCCCCGAGCGGTGCGGCGCGTGGGGTGGGGGGGCGGTCGCTGGGCCGGGCCGGGGCTCAGGTTAGTTGGCTGTGAGCAGGAGTTGCCCTCCCCCGTCCCCTCCCGCGACATCCGGAGGCCTCAGCTGCGCTCTGGGCTGGCGGCGCGCCGGTGAGTCAGGCCGGGTTTTCCCTCCGCCTCTAGGGCAGGCGAGCGAGCGAGCGCCTCGGAGCGCGTCCCTACCTCGCCAATCCGGCTCCGGCGCCCGCCCGCCCGCGTTTTCCCGACGTCTGTCACCCGGCGGCTCTGGCCCGGCTCGCAGTCTCGGCTGGACCGGCGCCCTGGAAGGAGGGTTCAAATCCGCGCGAGTGAACTGCAGAGCGAGAGGGGTGCGGAGTGGCGCCAGTATGGTAAGTGGGGCGCGCCAGGGGCCAGGGTGGACTCAGGGGTGGGGCCGGCCGCCAGGGCTCGCTTTCCCCGCGACCTTGGCCAAGCCGCAGCCCCTCGCCAGCCGAGTTTCCGTCAGAGAAGTGGGTGGGGGTGCCAGGGTGCGGTGTGCGCCCAGGTGTCCCCTAATTCGGCAACCGAGGCATCGAGTTGTGGGATTAGGGACCGACTTGCACCCTCCGCTGGAGGGGCCGGCAGCGGGTTATGCTCCTCTCCGCAATCCCTGCAAACGCGCTTTCCATGAAGCTGCGCTCGGGACCACGCTCCGCGGCTAGGGTGGGGCAGACGCCCTAGGCGCGGGAGCCTGACCTCGACCTCTGTCCCCCCAGCCCAGTTGCCCCGGGCAGGCCCCAGGGAAGCGCCAGGAAGAGATTCCCTCTTCTGTCCCCCAGGTAGTTCGGGGACCTCCCGCAGTTCTGGGGCACCCTAGCCTCCGCCACAGCCTTCCCGGGGCAAATTCTGTGGGGATGCCTACCCTGTTTGCCCCTCCTCCTTCCCCTTGAGACCCTGTCTCACGCCCCCCTCCGGAATATCTCATCTCCTTTCGTCCTTCAGCCCCTGCCCTGTACAGGCGGCAGCTGCCAGCTTCCTGCCTGGTCCCCCGATCTGTGAATAAGGGCTGCTCCCAGGTCCCCGCCCCCCACCCCCCCACCCCCCCGCCGCCCCTGGTCAGAGCACCACGCCTATCTGGCCACAACCTTTGGTAAAAGTGAGGGCTGACCAGGGGCCAGGCCAAAATCGGCTCTGGCTGTGTCCAGAATGAGAACTAGGACCCATCGTTGTCTGTCCCCCACCCCCACCCCGCAACCCTCTCCCCCAAGAACAGATTGGGGCAGCCCTTGTTTGCACCAGGGGGTCAGCTGGCTGTCCCTCCGTTGGGCCACCGTGTTCTCTCTCCTCCCGGCCTGGGGAGGAGGCAGAGGCAGGAGGCCGTCCTGGGCTGGGTGATCAGCCTCCTCCCAGGTCCCTCTTGGGCAGGGCTCGTGAGCCGGCTGGCTGTGCGTGGGTGTGCATGTGCCAGACTGTGAATGAATCCGGCCAGCTTGCTCCCACTGCCGCCTCTAGCATGCAGCTCCCAGGGCTGAGCGTCCCCACGCAGCAGTGCTGCCACTATTTCTTCCTGGCCAGGGGCAGGCTGGAGGGACCCAGGCTAAGGGACCTGGGATCCACACCAGCGTGGTGGCACACGCCCTTGAGAAAAGCTGCTGTGAGGGCTGGGCTGTGTGTACCTGGCAGGGCGGTGATGAGCCCTGGCTGGGCTAGCGGGACGCAGTGCAGATGACCTTGCCCAGGGCACTGGGATTGCTCGCCACTGTGGGTTTTGGGGCAGCTTGCCTCCTTTTTCTGGAACTCAGTTTCCCTGTCTGTAAGATGGAGTGATGCTAACTGCTGCCCTGCCTGCCCCAAGAGGCTGTGGTGGAGATGAGGTGAGGTGATGAGCGGAAGGAGAACTAGGGTGCTGTGCAACTGGTGAGACAAAGCGTGCCTCCTGCAAGGGTTGGACACTGGGCTGTGCCTCTTCCATCGCAGCAGTGGGTCCGGGGTAGGCCCCCTTCCTGGGCCCCTCTCACCCACTGTCCCCTCTTTTGGAACTGGGACATTCCAGTCCCATTCCTCAGGGGCAGCTGCAGTCACGCCCCTCAGCAAAGCTGATCCCCTACCCTAGCAGGTGGTGGGACCCTCCCCTGAGGTCAGGGCGCAGGAGGGGCTGAGGCAGCCCAGCGAGGAGTGGGAGCTTCCTGCCTGCACAGTCTGGGATGTCCCACCCCTGAGGAGGTGCACGGGGGCGGGGGGGGGGCGGGGGGGGTGGGAGTTGGGGGCTTCTACCCCTGGGGAGCCTGCGCACCATTTCCTGTACAGCTGAAGCAGCTGAACGTGGCCTTAAGCACATTATTTCATCTCCTGGGCCTTAGTTTTCTCCTGGGAAGTGGGGTGATGCTACCCCACTCCTGTGAGTGTGGTGAGGCAGTGGTAGGCCCAGCGTCAGGCTGACCTAACCAGGCAGGCACCCACTGATGGATGCCAGGATGCCTCCCTGACGTCCTGTCTTTCTCTGTGCCCCGGCCAGGGCAGTACCCGAGCCCCATCCTCCTGGCTCCAAGAGAGGTGCCCCTCTGGTCAGTGCTTTCAGTCTGCTGGCGTATCCTGGGACCTGGGGGTGGGAGCAGGAGTAAAGGCCCTGTCAGGGCCAGCTGGGGCCTGTGCAGGAGGCCCAGCCCAAGCCTAGTCTTCAGGGTGCTGGAGGCTTTGCAGCTGTGGGCAGAGCTCTGGGCCCCAGAGCAAGCAAGCCCAGGCACTTCGAGGTGTTCGGCTTTATGCTCTGAACTCCCGCCCCAGCTACAGGATACTTGCTGCCCCTCCCCCACCAAGTCCTGTCCAGCCTGCACAGCTGTCCTGGTCTGATCAGGCTAGTCTCTGGGCTTCCAAGCAACAAGAAGGAATGTGTGTTGGGGGGGAGGCAGGGGAGGCGGAGGGATGACCCCTCTAGGAAAAGGCACTGTCCCCAGACTGAGACCGGCGTTTGGTGGAGCCTCCTGAACGCCGATCACACAGCCAGAGAAGTTACCCAGGAGGGGTGGAGGGCAAGGGCTTTAATGAAAGAAAGGGAGGGGGCTGTCTGTGCCTCTCCCTCCAGTTCCTTGGCTGTCTCTAATTGCTCAAGTCGCTCGTGGAGAAAAGCTGGTCCTGTGTCCCCCTCACCACCTTCACGCACGTGTGTGCGCGCACACGCTTCTGCATCTGCTGCGGGCGAGGACCCTGGGTCTCTCTGCAAGAGCATTCCTGCAGTACATCTGCGTCCCAGAGGGTGCTCCGTGCTGCATGGGTGACCTTGAGCAGGACAGTGTCTGCCGCTGGATACGACTGTCCGCACCATGTCCTCTAAACAAGAGCCTCTGTGCTGCTGGTGGCACTGGCCGGACTGCAGTGTGTGTGCGGTGGCCTGCCGTGATGGCCGTGGCTGCCTGCCCCCTGGACTTGAGGCCCTTCGTGGGCACAGGGATGACAGTTATTGCTCCCTCAGACAGGAAGTGAGGATCTATCTGCCCAGGGCAAGGTGGGATGGCGTGTGTGTTTGGGTGAAGTGGGCGTGCCTGGGAGCACTGTTGCCCATGTCCATCATCGTCCCCTGCCCCGTTCTGGTGCCCGCTTGCACTTCACAAGACCTGTACCTCTGCTGTCTCTGTGCCTGTCCCAGCAATCCCATAAGGAAGGCAGGGCAGGCAGAGTCTTTCTCCTGTTCAGAGATGGGGAAACTGAGGCATGGCGAAGGGAGGTGCCCCATGGAGAGACAGCATGAGGCCAGGACAGGAGACCAGGTCTCCTGCTGTCCCACCTCGGTGGCAGGACTTCTGCGCACTCTCAGACATAGTGGTGTCGTGGCCTCGTGAGCCTGTCATGATGGGGAGGAGTGTCAGACTGGGAGGCAACTGCTTCCGTTCCAGCTCTGCAGCTGCGGGTGACATCCTTGGTTGTTTGGCAGCCACAGTGCTGGATCACGGTGTCCTCTCTGTGACCAGCTCTGTGACGCTGGGCAAACTGTTTCACCCTTCAGAGCCCCAGTGCCCTTGCCAGAAAAGCCAGATAAGTAACTGGGTCACAGAACTGCGGGAGACCCCCATGTAGGGCTGTGTTGCTGTAGGTGACACACCTGTGGGTGACCCCCGACCCTGTGTGGTCTGTGATGCCCCCCAGAGGTGCTAAGGGAGCTGGGGGCTGGGAGGAGAGATTCCTTTTGCCCAGTGTGAGGCTGAGAGCTACAGGGCGAGGAGGCAGGGCCACACCCTCCCTCCCTTTTACTCCTAAAGAGCTTTGTCTTCCACAAACACAAAACCTGGAAATGGTCGAGGAAGACAGAACGTCCTAACGACCATTGTTTGGGACAGTCCCGGAAGCATATTGGGGAGGCTGTGGAGCATGGGTCCCCAACCTCAGGGCTGAGGACCGGTATTTAGGAACCAGGCAGTCCAGCAAGAGGTGAGCTTGAAAGTAATGTGATTGAAACATCCCCAAATCACCTCGACCCTCAGTCCGTGGAAAAAGTCTCTCCCATGAAACCGGTTCCTGGTGCCAGCAAGGTTGGGGACCGCTGTCGTGGAGGACTTGCAGATGCAGTGTGCCTGCTGGGTGTCCGTTCCGGAATGGGAACGGCTGGGTGGGAGGCAGAGAAGATGGCATCAGTTCATCCAGCACTGGGCTGAGCACCGGGGATCCAGCCGGGGAATAGGGACACGCCCCGCCCTCCACCATGTGGTCCCAGCACGGGTGGTGCCAGCCACTCAGTCTCCCACCAGTGAGTGATGTGCGGGTGCCCCAGCAGATCAGCCCGGCTGTGGTCAGCCTGTGCTGGGCCTGGCTGCCGATGGGGCGAGTTGTCCTGCTATCTCAGCCCATTCTCTGGGGGTCCCTGAGTGGGGAGTCGTCATGGCCGCTGTCCGAGTGTGGAAGCCAGGCCCCACACACAGGCTGGCTCCGTGCCAGGTCAGGGTGCGGGACCCCCACACACACCTGCTGGTGGGCTCTCGAGTGCTCGGGCTGCCCCCTGCCTCTCACCGTGGCCCCAGTGAACACCTGTTCCGGAAACCGTGACCATTGTTCCCTCCATCCTTCCTCCCCTCAGGTCCTTCCTGTTTGTATCCCGGGGCTGCCCGGTGCAACCCCATCCGTGCCAGGTGCTTCCCTTGGGGAACACATTCTGCAGGAAGAGGGCTGAACTGGGAACTGGGTTTCCCCTCCCTGGACAAGAAGGAGGGATGCAGTGTCTGGGGCACTGACCCTGCTCCTGGTGCCCTGTGCCCACATCCCAGATCGGGTGGGAAGCCTAACAGGGGAGTGAGCAAGGTCAGAGTCAGACAGAGCCCGAGTCCTCAGCTGTCCCAGTCCCGGGAAGGGCCCTACCCTGTTTCAGGGCCTCTTCACATCCATACTGCCCCTTCCAGCCTCTAACTGGAGCTGGAGTACTGGGCAGGTGGCTCTGGGGCCTGTACCCCTGCTTCTTGCCAGCCTAGACACTCTGTCCTGGACTCACTCCAGCCCCACATCTGCCTCTCCTGGGCCTGGGCCAGATGGGGAGCTGACCGAGAACGAGTACCTGGTTTTAGGGCATGAGGGGCAGGTGGACAACAAGCATCCACCTGCCCCTGATGGAGCCTCTATCCCCAGAAGCAGCTGTCAGTGCTCCGCTGAAAATTCATGGCCACAGCCCCAGGCTCTGTCGGCATTGCCATGGGCAGCGTGGGCAGCCTGTTGGAACGGCAGGACTTCTCCCCTGAAGAGCTGCGGGCAGCACTTGCGGGGTCCCGGGGCCCCCGCCAGCCCGATGGGCTCCTCCGGAAGGGCTTGGGCCAACGTGAGCTCTTCAGCTACTTGCACCTCCCCAAGAAGGACAGCAAGACCGGCAAGCGGGCCGCCCGGAACGAGCCTGCCGACTATGCCACCCTTTACTACCAGGAGCATCCTCGGGCTGGTGACTTCAGCAAGACCTCACTGCCCGAGCGGGGACGTTTCGACAAGGTATGCCTATGCCTGCACCCCTCCTTGCCTGGGGTGTGAGGGTGGGTGGGAGCTTGGGCCTCCCTGGAGACCCTGGTGCTAGGGCGGGGCTGGAACCTGCGAGTCCTGCTATGGACTAGCCTGAGGCTTGGTTGCTGCTTCCCGCAGGGGTGCACCCCATGCCTGGAAGGATCCCTGGGGACTGTGGGGGCATCGCAGTCAGCCCGGGGTCTCACCCCTGCCCTCTCTTCCTGGCAGTGCCGCATTCGCCCGTCGGTCTTCAAGCCTGTGGCGGGCACCGGGAAAGGCTTCCTTTCCATGCAGAGCCTGGCAGCCCACAAGGGCCAGAAGCTGTGGCGCAGCAACGGCAGCCTGCACATGCTGGCCTGCCACCCGCCCCTGAGCCCGGGGCCCCGGGCCAGCCAGGCCCGAGCCCAGCTGCTGCACGCCCTCAGCCTGGACGAGGGCAGCCCAGAGCACGAGCCCAGCCTGTCTGATTCCTCTAGTGGGGGCAGCTTTGGCTGCAGCCCTGGCACAGGCCCCGGCTCCAGCCCCTTCAGCTCCTCCATGGGCCACATGAACCACCTCGGGGGCTCCCTGGACCGGGCCTCGCGGAGCCCCAAGAAGGCTGGGCCGATGGCCATGCTGAGTTGCCTGCCTGAGCCCCCACCCCCCTACGAGTTCTCCTGCTCCACTGCCGAAGAGGTGATGGCCATGCTTCCTGACACCTGTGAGGATCTCAAGAGAGGTCTTGGTGACGAGGATGGTGCCAACCCCTTCACGCAGGTGAGGGCAGCCTCTGCCCCAGGGTCCTGTTCTGTCCCTTGGCATTGGAGTCCTGGACAGTGTCCCCAGCCAGCTCACCCACATGATTCTGGGCACAAGAGAGAAAGGAGATGAATCGGCTCCTCTCCCCCCATCCCTGCTGGCGGGCGTCAGATCACTGGTGGTTCTTGCTGGAGTTGTGTAAGACGGAGGGAGAATCTCCCTGGGAGGGCCGTGTGCTGGGGACACTTCACCTCTGGAGGGCATCCCAGAATGGCGCACATGTGGCTGGGGTGCTGGGCCCTGGGTCCTGTGGCACTCGGGCACAGGTTGTTGGCTGCAGCCACCAAGCACCTCTTTCTGCTTGGCAGGTGCTGGAGGAGCGCCAGCGGCTGTGGCTGTCGGAGCTGAAGCGCCTGTACGTGGAGCGGCTGCATGAGGTGGCCCAGAAGGCTGAGCGCAGTGAGCGAAACCTCCAGCTGCAGCTGTTCGTGGCCCAACAGGAGCAGCGTCGCCTGCGCAAGGAGCTTCGTGCACAGCAGGGCCTCGCCCCTGAGCCTCGGCCCCTAGAAGCTGACCTTAACACTAGTCCAGAGGAGGAAGCACGATGGGAGGTGAGAGACCAGGTTCCTAAGAAGGCTCTTGTCCCCGTTTCTGTAGTCCCCTCTTCTGCCTGCCCCTTCTACCGACCCCCCTCACCCTGCTTTGCTTAGCCCTTGTCCATCCTGCGCTTCTTTCCAGGTGTGCCAGAAGACTGCAGAGATTAGCCTCCTGAAGCAGCAGCTGCGGGAGGCCCAGGCCGAGCTGGCCCAGAAGCTGGCTGAGATCTTCAGCCTGAAGACACAACTCCGGGGCAGCCGGGCACAAGCCCAGGCCCAGGACGCAGAGCTGGCCCGGCTGCGCGAGGCGGTGCGGAGCCTGCAGGAGCAGGCCCCACGGGAGGAAGCCCCAGGTGGTTGTGAGACTGATGACTGCAAGAGTAGGGGGCTGCTGGGGGAGGTAGGAGGCAGTGAGGCCAGAGATGGCGCCGAGAAGCTGCGGGCCGAGCTGCTGCAGGAGCGGCTCCGGGGCCAGGAGCAGGCTCTACGCTTTGAGCAGGAGCGGCGGACGTGGCAGGAAGAGAAGGAGCGGGTGCTGCGCTACCAGCGGGAGATCCAGGGGAGCTACATGGACATGTACCGTCGCAACCAGGTGCTGGAACAGGAGCTGCGGGCACTGCGGGAGCCCCCTGAGCCCTGGAGTCCTCGGCTTGAGTCCTCCAAGATCTGAGGCCAGCGGCGAGAGCCGACAGCAGAAACGCTGTCAGAAGATGGCTTGGGCGAGCCCACCCTGAGAAGGCCGGCTCCATCCTGACATTGGTCTGGGGCAGAATCCGCTGAAGCCAGCCGGGATGGGGAAGCCCACCGAGAGAAGGGATCCAGAGGGGCTGTGGGCTGGGTAGGATGCCAGCAGCAGGAGCCAGGCCCTCCTAGCTGAGAAGTACCCCAGCAGGGCCCAGCCTGTGGCCCTGGAAAGGGAGATGAGGTGCCCAAGATTCAGAGGGCTAGGCACGAGAGAGGGAGGCTGGGACAGGAACATTGGCCTCCCCCAGAATGAAACCACAGTATTTTTTTTTAATTGGTTTGAGAGACAGAGACAGAGACAGAGAGAGGGAGAGAGAGGAAAAACCAATTGATTTGTTGTTCCACGTATTTATGCATTCATTGATTGCTTCTTGTATGTGCCCTGACTGGAGATTGAACCTACAACGTTGGTGTATTGGGGTGATGCTGTAACCCACTGAGCTACCTGTCCAGGGCTAAAACCACATTTTCTATGAGGAGGCCCTGGGTGATATGTTGGGCCTGTCTCAGACCTGAGTTGAGCCGATCCAGGAGGGTCAGGATTGGGAGTCATGGACCTGGGCAGTATAGCTCCTTCCGTGGTCCTGGTCAGTGGGAGGGTGTGCCCGGTGCCTGTGTTGGGCACGTGTGTTGGCAGGTGGAGGAGTCCTCTTCTTTGCCCCAGTACCACATGGTTCCTTAGCTGCCATGTGGGCTGAAATTCCTTTCTTCATCACCAATGGGATTTTTCAGAAGGAACAATGCCAGGGAATGTAGAAAAACAAAAGGGCAAATCATCCAAGGCATTGCTTGAACATGAAACGTTCTCTTCATGGGAAGTCTCAGCCACAGTGCCCAGGCCCCTGCCAGGTGTAGAGCCAGCCTCAGGCAACTTCCGCCGAAGCTCCTTAAGGCTCCTGCAGGGATCTGCCTGTCCCAGCACCCACCTCCCATCTTCCTGTCTGGCTGTGGTGCACGCCTCCCTCCGTAGGGATGGGGGCTCTGGGAAGGTGCGGGAGACTGGCAGAAAAAGCTTGTGGGTCACCAGATAAAGGGCCTTTGCCACTACAAGGAATGTGGACACATCCCCATAGGCATGAAGGACCATGGAGTTTTTAAGCAGAGGTGAGATAAGAGCTGATTTGCATTCTGGAAAGCAGCCCCTGCCTCTCAGACATCTGGCTTCCCCTCTGGGCCTTTTTTTCCTCAGGGATAGGTGTCCTTGAGTGCAGACCCAGGCCAGCCATGCAGGTGGGTGTCACCCTCCACTTGTGGTAAAGCTCAACATCCTTACAGGTGAATCACTATGGCCGCTGCCACACAGTGAGGGCTTCCCTCTGCCAGGCACTGTTCGACTGCCAGGTAGGGCATGGGGGCTCTGGTGGGAATCTTTCTGCTCCAGGGAAGGCAGGAGACAGGCAGACTTCTCTCCTCCCAGTGGTTGCCCTGGTGAGGCAGGTGCAACCTCAGAGGAGTTCTCGGCAGAGATCCTCAGCTTCCTCCCCGTGGCCTTGCCCTCCTCCTGCAGAGCTGGCAGCCCCCCCCCCCGCCCCGCCCCGTGGGCCCCAGCAGGTGGGGCCTGCGCAGGGGTGTGGATTGAGCTGTAGAGTGTGAGCCAGTGTGCTCCACCTTTTCAGGGCGGAGAGGGGTGTGTGAGTTGACTGTCAAGGGGTTGGTGTGTCTGTGGCCCTGTGAGCGGTAGGTGTGTGCAGAGATGGGCTGTGGGTGGTGGGTGTGTCTGAGGGGGTGTGTTTGGGGCTGCTTTCTGCTGCTCCCTTGGCCCCATTACTTCCCCCCAGCTCCAGTCCCTTTATCTGGCCAGGCTTGGGTGGAGCCTGTGGCTGGTATAGACCCTTGGCCCTAGCTGAGACCCGTCTAGGCCCACCCCTCAGCCTGGGGAGGGGACAGGAACACCTGGGTCGGGCAGTCCTGCTCTCCACGGGCCTCAGTGTCCACTTCATACCTCTCCAAACCACGGTTTCTGGGCCCGAGGCCCCCCACCCCCCACAGCTGAGTGCTGGCCTGAGGTCTTGGCCCGGAGCTGGTCAGACCGGGTGCCCACAAGCCCCGCAACGTCAGGGTCTGCTTTTCTATGCACCACCTCTGCAAAACGACTCCGCACCCAGCAATTAGAGAGCTGGGCTGGCCAGTACTGCCAGCAGGGAGTGGGTGGGCGGTACCAAAACTTGGCAGCTGTGCCAGAAACCAAGACCAGGCCCAGATGTAGGGGGAGGGCTCGAGGGAGCCAAGCTGGGGCGTCTCAGACGGAACCTGATCCCTATTAGCTTATCCCTGGGGAAACCAGCTCTGGTCCCCAAGCCGGCTCAGTGGCTCTCGAGCCAGCTGATTACAGGTGCCACTGCAGTGGCTGCTGCTGCCCGGCAGCTCCTCCCTTCGGCCACTGGCAGGCCCCTCTACCACCAGCAGACTACGCCCAGGCATCTCGTTCTCCAGAGCTGTGGCGAGACCCTACCCAGGCTCCCTGCCTGCTCCTGGTTCCCCTTGTGCTCAGCTCAGGTAGTGTCGCGCCTGCTGGCTGCTCCCTGGGCCCCTCAGTCTGTCTCTCAAGGCTTTGGACAGTCACTGATAACGGTGCCCCTTCTGACCCCAGCACCCTCTGGGCCTTCCTCCTGTAGCCAGAGCCCCTCCCTGTGCTCAGGTCTTGCCTCTTCAGGGAAGCCTTTCCTGAACTCACACAGGGCAGTCTCCTTCCTTGTGCCCACAGCCCCAGGTGCCTCTCCGCCAGCTCTCTTTGTGCTGCTGGAGTTGTCCCTTCACCTTTGTCTCCACTGGGCTGCAGGCCTCCTTAGGCACAGCCATGTCTTGTTTTTATCCCCAGAGCCCTCCAGCTCCAGCCCCAGAAGGCACTGGGGGGCTTCGGAGTCAAAAGGGACCAGACCCTTCCCCTGATTGGCATGGATTTGAGCTGGTGGTAGGGTGGGGTACAAGGGGAGGGTTCCTGCTCCAAGTGTCCATTCACCTGTGGGCACCTGGTGCTAACCATATCTGCCAGGCTCTAGGGCTCCCAAGCTGGCCGCCATTCACTGCACACTGATCTACTGCTGCCCTCCTCGGGGCCTGGCGTGGTTTCCAGGAGAGGAAGCCAAAGTGGCCAGGACCTCTGCCCTCTTGGCCCTTCCCCATGGGGGCAGGGGAAGGAGATGACACACATGTCCATGCAATGACCAGGCCAGGCAGGAGACTGAGGACAGGAGGGTCCAGAGGGTGAAGGCTGGCTACTGGAGCAAGGCTGGGGCAGGAGTCAGTTGGGGGGTGGGGGAACAGGGGGCGGGGCACAGCCAGGGCTGTGCATATTAGCAATCCTTTCTCCGGGGACATGCAGGCAGTTTCCCCTAGTGGGTCTGGGCTTAGCTGTCTATTATATTGGATTCAGGAAAGAAAAAGAACATGCTGTTTCTTGCAACAAAAGTGAAATATGTCACGTGAGATGAGGGAGTGCCGTGGGTGTTCAGAGGACTTGCCACCGGCTCCCGTCACTCCAGCTGGTGGGATGGGGGTGAGGAGGACTGACCAAACCTTGGTTAGGCTCTTCTGAGCTCTCTCTTTGACTGGGCCCGACCTTTGGAAGCCGTCCTTCCTTGTACAGTCCAGTTTGAGCGAGAGTTCTGCTAAGGTAGTTGAGTCGGAGCGGCCCATCCTGCATATCGAATCACCCTCCACATGTAATCTGGTTCCTTGTCCTCCACCACTCCCCAGGTGATATCTGATTGTGGGCCTGCCTTCTGCAAGATTCCTGTGGTCCATTTAGTCAGAACCCTCCTTAGCCCCCTGAGGTTTCCTCTTAGTAACTTTCCATCCACTGACCTCCACTCTCCTCTTGGTTGTAAATTGTACTTTCCCTGTCGTATTTGGAGTTGAGCCCACTCTCTGTCCCCTACTGCAAAACCCCAGTGCGGTAGCCCTCCCTTGAATAAAATCTTCCTTGCCACTCTTTAATGAGTATCGTGAGTAATTTTTTTTCTTTAATGGAGTAGGCTGCTCTGAATTGGGGTGATTTCCTCAGGAGCTGCATGGAGTGAGCACATTTAGGGTGGGCCTGGATTTGGACACAGTGAAGTGTGGGGCCGATCTGGGGGAGGTCTCTCGGGTTTGCAGGCCAGTGCTCAGTCTGCCGAGACACACCAGCCACGGCAACAACTTTCTTTAAAAAGATTCATCTAGTGTGTGCTTTGTGTGTCTGTTCCCCTCCTTTCATTTAAGGTACAATTTACTTATAGGAAAGTCCACCCTTCCCAGGGTTCAGTTTTTAGAGCTTTGACCAATGCAGAGTTGTATAACCAATCCTACAGTCAAGATATGGAATGCTTCCATCTCCCCTCAAACTCCCCTGTGCCTCCCTGTAGTGAGCCTTTAACCTCTACCCACAGGCAACTAGTGATCTGCTTTCTCAGTTACCTTTTTGTGAGCTTTATTTAATCCCACCACATATTTAGAACATAATACAAAGTTGCAAGTAAAAATAAAACCACTTCATTGGAAAGAATAAAAAGCCAGAAATAGATTCCATGTTGTAGAAAAATTCTAATATGATGATAAAGGGCTTCAAAATGAGAGGGTAAGCCCTGTTTGGTGTGGCTTGGTGGACTGAGCACTGGCTTGTGAACCAAAGGGTCACTTGTTTGATTCCCAAACAAGCCTGCGTTATGGTCCAGGTCCCCAGTAGGGGCACATGAGGAGCAACCATACATGGATGTTTCTCTCCCTCTCTTCCTCCCTTCCCCACTCTCTAAATAAATAAATAAAATCTTTAAAAAGAAAAGGACATCCTTTTATTAAAACATGAGAAGGTAAGGAAGGATTATTTAATAAGAGGTGTGATAACTGGACAAAAATGTGGGGGAAAGTGTCAGACACTGTACCTCCACCTGCAAAACAAAATGGACACGTATCAAGGAGTTAATTTTTAAAAATCAAATCCCAGGAAACCAGCAAAAGGTGAAACAGACTATTATTGAATTCGTGGAGAACAGCTAAGTTTTTCTGCTCTGAAGCAGTTCCTCCTTCCCACAAAAACAAATCGAACACACAATCCCAACAGGGTGAGACTGACAAAATCAACTAGGCAATAAAACTTGGTGCACACTGAAAAGTGACAAAACAACGACGCCAGAAGAACCAAATACTGGGGAAAGTGATGACAAAGGTTAAAACTGTCTGAGGTATCAGCCGGGCATTCCAAGTTCTCATAGACGCTGGGCTTTCCTTGCACCCCGTGAGGCTGTGGGGCAGGTCAGGGCTCCCGCAGAGGAAGTGGGGAAGCCTGGGGAGCCGGCAAAAGCCTGTGAGGTCCTGTTGGCTCCGAGGCCGCCTGAGCCTCGGCGGGTGGCCCCAGGCTAGGCTCACTCAACTCTCGCCCCCGCAGCGCCATGTGGGCCAGACCACCCAGGCTTCAGGTGCACAGACTCGACTCGCCAGGATGCTCCAACACCCGTGGGCTCTTGGCAGGGCTCTGGACCACCCCCTTCCCTGCGTGAAAGGTTCTGAAGCCATTGGAGCCTCAGCATATTTCTGAGCATCTAAGGTGTTGCAAGTACATGGTGTTGGGCATACAGCAGTGCCGAGTATGAAGTCGTGGTCCCAGTGGAGCTTTTATTAAGAGGGCATGAGTTAGGAGCCGAAAGACAATAAACACACAAAATAATTTCTTCAAGTCAAATACTATTTTTAAAAAGAGAACTGGGATTGTGCAAGTGCTATACAGAAAACAAAACAAGATTGTGCAAAGGTGTTTGTGGGGTGGAGGGTGGGGAGGAGGCGTGGAGGGTTGAAGGGGAGGATGTCCTGGAAACAGGAGACTGGCCCGGAAAGGAAGCAGGAAGTCACGGAAACCGAGACCCAGCTTTTTTCCTCGGGCTGTTTTCTAGCTGAGTCTCTAAGGCCGGGGTGGGGGGGGGCGCTCCTCTGTCCCGCCCCTTTGGAGCATCCTCTTGCTCTGGGAGGAACGTGAATTCAGTCCAGTCCTGGGTTTGGGGTCACCCTTCCTCTTAGGACATCTGTACTACCCAGTCTCCTTGTACCCGCCAAGGAGGGCGACCAACGACCGATGGAGGGCAACAGGGCAGGGGCTGGTGGACCCCAGCAGCAGTCTAATCCTCCTGTTGAATTCCCAGTAGATTCGGTACAAGTTTAGCGGCAGGGAAAAAAAAAAAGATTTTTCTTTTAAACATCGTTTGATATATCGAAAAGAGCATCAGGGAGCCATCGCGGGAGAGCCGAAACGTCGGACTCATATCATTCTGTAGACCTTCCTTTGAAAGAGAGCAGAGGGCGGGGAGCCCAGTTGGCACAGACTTTGGTTTAGGGCTTCCGACTACGGAGCCGGACCCTGGGACCCAGTCTGGGACCGAATTATGGGGGCGGGCGGACCAGGTGCTTCTTCCCGGTAGGAAAACCAACCCGCCAGCCCCACGCACCCCCCAACTTCCCGAGCCAGGGCATCGGTCTGATCCTGCCCGGATCCCGAAAACACGGAGGGGCGCGGTGCAGCCCGCAGCTGTGGCGCGGGGACAGCCAGGGCATGGGCCACGACAGCTGGATGTCCGGCTTCCCGCCGCTGCCCGATTCCTGCGGGCGACTCCACTCCGGGAACGCGGGAGGGGGAAGCTCGCGCCAGGCGGACGCGGGACAGCACCCCTGCGCGAAGCCGCGAGTCGGCCAGTCCCGACCTGCGGAGCAACTGCCGCAGCTTCCGGTTCCGTTGACAGCGGCGCCGGAAACGAGGGTGGGGCGGTGGGGCCAGGTGTGAGCCACGGCTTCCGGCCAGGAGGTGCGAGTGGAGGACGAGGTGCGCCCCGGCGGCGGGGCGGGGGGGGAGGGTTGGGTGGCGCGGTGGGCGGCAGCTCGGGGGGGGGGATCCTGGGCCTCGGGCCTTCTCCGACTACTGGTCCGCACTAGTTCGTCGCCCCTAGACTTGTTTGCTCCGCAGCCGTCGGCCCGGGAACGGGAGCCCCTCAGACTCGTAAGACCCTCGAAGAAGCGCTCCTGCCGGGGGAATCGCCCCGACATCCCATCGTATTGTGAGCCGGCTGGGTCGGAGGTAAGCCGTGGCGGACGAGGACATTCGAGCATGCTCTTTTGAAGGACGAGTAGGAGTTTCACAGTCATTTGCGTTAATGCAGATGAAACTCCCAGAAGGGCTGCATTCCAGGGAAAATGGTGGGCCTTTTCTTCCCCCTACTTTTGGTTAACGACTAAAGATCGAAACTTCAAATCGAGATTTGTAAGGAAGAAAAGGTGCGTTACATCCTGGGGTCTAGGAGAGCATCTCTGAAGAGATGGCGTTTGTTTTGAGACCCTACTAAGGAACCAACCGTGCAAAGATCTGGGAGAAGAGTGTTCCAGGCAGAGGGAACAGCCAGCGCAAAAGCCCTCAGGCAGAAATAAAATGAATGAGGTGAAAGAAGCGAAAGGAGGCTGGTTGGAGTGGGGTACCGAAGGGGAGAGTGGTGGAAGATGAAGTGGGAGAGGTGGCTGGGAGTGAACTCACAACTGTTTAGGCCGTAAAACGGAGGGTGGGTTTTATCCTGAGTTCAGGAGGAGTCGGGTTTTAAGCAGAGGAGTAGTGGGTCTGTAGGGTGGAGAGTGGACAGAGGTGGGGGTACAGAGGTATAAGAGTTGGGTCAATGGAGGCTGTCCAGTTCTGTGTCAGGCAGAAGGACCTTTCTGTGATTTGCACAAACATCCCTCCTCCCTCTTTACCCCAGAAGGTGTTCTCCTGGTTCAGGATGCTGAAGCCTGGGGACAAAACCCTCATGCGTGTCTTGCATATCTTGGATGGATTTTAATATTTCACTCATGGGTCCCCCAGCCCCCGCCGCCACCCAGGTTTGAGCTCAGGTCCTCTAGCAAGGAAGGTTAGGGAGTGGATGCACCATTTAATCAGCAAATGTTCACTGAGCACCCACTGTGGACCAGGCCCTGGACTGGGCACTGAAGGGGGAGAGGATGAGAGAGACTGGACTCCCGGCCTGAGCATCTCACAGTTGAGGGGGGAGACAGACATGAGGATAGGCACAGACTGCGCTGCCGTGCTGTGGACTCCGTTGTGCGTGGTCCGGGCATTCTCCACCGAGGTTTGTGAGTCAGGGAGAAGGAGGCAGGAAGATTTCAGCGAGGGCTCTGTGGGGAGCAATAATTATGCTGCATCTGGTGCTCTCCGTGCAGAGAAGTGCGGAGGGCATCCTGGACATAGGCTCAGCTTGTGCTGAGCAAATGTGCAATGATAAAGGGCTGGTATGTCAGGCCATGGCACTGTTGAGGAAGGGGGGCGTGTGACAGGATCCCACGTGTTCCTTTGGAGGGATTAGTTTGTCAAAGATGAGCACACTCTCTGCCCTCCTGCACAGTGAAGATGACCGACCACAGCTCAGTCAGTGTGGCTCGGCCTGGGCTGGCTGAGTAGCCTCCTGGGCTGTTTGGATGGAATGCTTGCAAGCAGTTCTGTTTTCCCAGCTCACTTACTTTATTTTTAAATGTTTTATTAAGTTTTCTTGGTTCATTGTATGTGTAATTGGTCCATGCAGGGCCTTTTTCTCCTGTGTATTTATTTATACATTCCCTGTTACCCCCATTCCTTTTTTCTCCCCCCACCAAAGGCAACTACTCTGATGTGCTGGGTGTAAATCCCTGTATTTGCATGTGTCCTTTGTTGTACACATAAATATTTTTAAAAATTTTATTTATTTATTTTTAGAGGAAAGGAGGGAGAGAGGGAGAGAAACATTATGTGCAAGAGAAACAGCAGTCGGTTGCCTCTCTTATGCCCCCAACTGGGGACCAGGCCCACAACCCAGGCATGTGCCCTGACTGGGAATTGAACTGGCAACCTTTTGGACCACAGGTCAGCTCAATCCACTGAGCCACACCAGCCAGGGCTGTGTGCATATATTTTTTAATTTACACAAGTAGTATTCTCCCTAGAGTTCATTTTGTTTCATTTTCTCCCCTCAGTACCACATTTTGGGATCTTACTGATATTGCTGTGGGTATCTCTGGAGTGTGGTTTCTGAATGCTGTCCAGGTTTTCATAGATCCATCCCCCACATTTTACCTCCTCTATTTATCAGTTCCCCCAGTGGTGAGGCCCCTAGACTGTCTCTGACTCCTGGCTACTGCACACAGTGCTGGGATGAAAATCCTTGTACCCAGCTCCTTCCTCATCTCTGTAAAACAGTTTCGAGATTCTGGCCTGGGCTTCTCCTTGGTAATTCTGGTGTCAGTTGGTGTTGGACAGGGCCAGACTGTTGGACCTTGGTGAGGTCCTCATCATTCTTGAACTGTGTGTGTTGTCGGTAAATTGTGATTCTGGTTCCCAGATGTTCTCTGCAAACGTTCTGTTGTGTTGCCGTCTTTCCTAGTCGGTCATCTCGCAGACTCTGCTGTCAATTTCCCACTTCCTGTCATCATTAATTGTTGCTGTACACTCATTGCAACCACATCCGTTCCCTTTCCTGGGGAGGCGGTGGCCTGGTGAGCTGGTCCAGGGAGTGCTCCCAAACAGCCCCGGAGCCAGAAGGCCCAGCTTCAGTTCTCATGTCCTCCCCTTCCTGCCATGTGACCTTGGGCAACTTACTTAATCTTTCTGTGTCTCATTTTCTCATCTGTAAAGTAGGTCTAATGATCGCACCTACCTCCTAGTGTTCTTGTACGAATTGATTAGCTAATGCATGCAAAGTCATTAGAAGGGTGCCTGGCACACAGTGAGCTTCTATGACGTGTTAACTGTTAACAGCAATAATAACTATTACATAGATACTGTTCTAGGTATTAGTCCCTGTTATGTTTTGCAATAATGGCTCATACCCCGTGATGGGATACCGGCACATGTGTTTTCTGCTATTTCACTTGATTGCACTTTCAGGTATCGCGTTTTCATCAACATCGAGGCAAAACCTTCTACCAGCAAAAATATGACCACTCACGGAGGGCTCAGAAATGGTTAGCACTTTTTAGCAGTAAAGTATTTTCAATGAAGATGTGTATTTTTTTTAAAAGAGAGAATGCTGTTGCGCATGTGAGACTGATGTGGTGCACACATAGCATTTGCATGCTCTGGGAACCACGCAGTCCGTGTGACTCCCTGTACTGCAGCGCTGACTTTATCTTGCTTTTGGCTTAGTCGGGTGGTCCGGGCCACCCACAGCCCCTCTGAGGTATCCTGCGTTTGCTCGGGAGGCATGAGGCAGGTGACGTGTCTTCTCGACACCATGATTACAGACTCTAGTGTGTTAGCATCACCCATGAGGAGAGATGGCAGAAACACGTGGTGGAGCTCCAAGTGCCAGTTTCCTGGCACATGCCCCCTGGCTGCACTGAGAGGATGCAGCCAGGACCGATGGTGCTGGTGGGAACGGGCAGGGAGGGGTGAAACTGAAGAGTCCTGAGGGTCACCTCGGGCACAGGGTTCTCCTGTGGTGTCACTCGGTTTTCTCCTATGCGAGAACGGACCACATTTGAGAGTGAGCTTTCATTTCTAGTCCCGTGGATGGGAGGCTAGGGAGAGAACCCTGTCATCAGCACTTTGAGGATTGTTCGTGTGTTCGGTGACAGAGGCTGCTCTCAGGTGGAGGAGATTGGTGGCTCAGAGTAGAAGGGACTTAGGATGGGGACCTTGGTGGTAGGAAAGTGGGGCGGGAACAGGCAGTGTCCTCTCAGTGGCACAGCCATAGGAGGGAAGGCTGTGTTACAGGAGGGGCAATAGTGTGAGGGGGCGGCGGCCCTGCAACATCACTGCCGGGCGGTCAGAATTGAGGTCGGAGGGTCCTCATCCTGTGAGAGCCTCGGGGCATGCAGGTGAGGCTTTCTTGGTACTTGGTGAGTGGAGGAACATCATGGGCCGTTTCAGTCACACCAGACTCGGGTGGGTCCAAGGCCTTTCAGCACCCCAGACCTGCCTGATGACAACGTAGACATGACGTGACAGTTTAGTTTTACCAAGTGTCACCTGTTTGATGGGACACAGCTTCTGCTTGGTGAGGGGACGGGTTCTGCGGATGGGTGGTGGTGAGGGTTGCATGGCATTGTGAATGTATTCAGTGACACTTAAAAATGGTTAAAAGGGTAAATCTTATGTGTATTTTACCACAATTAAAAAGTCATACTTAAACACTGGCTGGTGTGGCTCAGTGGATTGAGCGCCAGCCTGTGAACTGAAAGGTTGCAGGTTCGATTCCCAGTCAGAGTACTTGCTGGGTTGTGGGCCAGGCCCCTGGTTGGGAGTGTGCGAGCAGCAACTAATTGATGTTTCTGTTGCACATGGATGTTTCTTTCCCTCTCTTTCTCCCTCCCTTCCCCTCTCTCTAAAAATAAATAAATAAGATCTTTTAAAAAATCATACTAAAAAAATACTGAAGTAGCACGAGGCCAGGTGGGAGCAAGGGAGGGATAGCTGCTAGAGGGGTCATCCCTGAGTTGCTTCTCAAACAGTTGGGAGGTAACAGGAGGACTTCCCAGGGAGCGGGACCAGCTTGAACCAGGGCTCGAGCTGTGAGGCAGTAAGGGTTCTGGCTGCCCATGTGGGGTGAGCAGCAGGGGAGACTGAAGCTGTAGTGGGGAGCAAGACCCATTGGGCCAACGCGGCCACCAGTTGCTCCTCGGGATGTGTTTCCAAATACCAGCCTTTTATGGACTGTCTTCAGGCTCCTCTCACTGTGGAGCAGAGGAGACCCAGTCCACGAACCGAAGGGAAGGTGGCCGTGACAGGTCTGTGAAGATATGTGGAGTATGACGCCAGGCTGTGTATGTACGGATTTCTAGTTAGTGTCACCTGCTGAGGGCTCTGTGAGACCTGCTGCTCCTTCTCACTGAAAAGAGACAAGCAGTGCCCTGGCTGGCTGGCTCGGTGGGAGTGTCCTCCTGTGCACTGAAAGTTTGCAGGTTCGATCCCCTGTCAGGGCATATACCTAGGTTGTGGGTTCAATGCCTGGTCTGGGCATATATGGGAGGCAACTGATCAATGTTTCTCTGTCTCTCCCTTCCTCTCTCTCTAAAATCAATAAACATCCATATTTAAATAAAGAGAGAAATGAGCAAGAATCATAGAGTGAAAAGAGTTGAAAACAGTTTTCTCACCATGATTCAAACTACCCCTGTCCTCATATCTACCTTTGCCCTCCCCTGGGCACCCTGGCTAGGGGTGATGGAGCTGTGGACAGGTATGTTAAGCTGGACTTTTGTGAGCATTGATACATGATATGGGTGGGGCAAGGGGGATCTGGGAGGCTTCCCCACCCACTGTGTGCCCCAGGTGGGGCCTGACACCATGGACCCTCCTCCCACCCCCAGGCAGAGGCCACCATGGAGCAGTGTACAAGCGTGGAGAGAGAGGTGGACAAGGTCCTCCAGAAGTTCCTGGCCTACGGGCAGCACTTCGAGCAGAGCCTGGAGGAGCTGCTGCACTGCGTGGGCCGGCTGCGGGCTGAGCTGGCCAGAGCAGGTGGGTGTCCCCCATGAGAGCCCCACTCCTGCCTCCACGTGGGCCTAAGAGACCCTGAGGCTGCTTGGTGACAATGACTTTCCTGCTCTGTCATTCCTTATGGACTTATTACTTGGCATTCAACTGGAAGGAAGAAGCTTTCTCTTCTCCCTTATTCACATATTTATTTATTACCAGTTCTCATTTAGAACTTATTATTTTATTCAGTGGGTTATAAGCCATTACTATTGTTATATATTTTGATGCTCAAATTGTGTTAGATTTGACCAGAGGTAGCCCCCGGTTTTCATGTCCTTTTTTAAAAAAATTGAGCTATGATTCACATTAAAAAACACCCTTTTAAAAATGTACAATTCAGCCCTGGCTGGTGTGGCTCAGTGGATTGAGTGCTGGCCTGTGAATCAAAGGGTCACTGGTTCAATTCCCAGTCAGGGCACATGCCTGGGTTGTGGGCCAGGTCCCCAGCAGGCGGCACGCTAGAGGCAACCATACACCGATGTTACTCTCCCTTTCTTTCTCCCTCCCTTCCCCTCTCTAAAAATAAATAAATGAAATCTTTAAAAAAAACAAATAAAATGTATAATTCAGTGGTTTTTAGTGCATTTACAGAGTTGTACAATCATTATCACCATGTAATTTCAGAACATTTTTATCACCCCAAAAGGAAACAGTAACTCCTCCACTTCCCCCTCTCCCCTGGCCCCCGGGACAACCAGTAATCTACTTTCTGTGAACTTACCTATTCTGGACACTTCATATAAATGAAATTGTACAATATGCTTAGCTTTTTGAGGAACTGGCAAACTATTTTTACAAATGTAGCTGTAACTTTACATTCCTACCTATAGTATTTGAGGGTTCCGGTTTCTCCACACCCTCCCCCACCCTTTTCTTTAATTATAGTCATCCTAGCACTTTTGTAATGACTAATGACAATGGAGTGTCTTTTCCTGCGCTTGTGGGCCGTTTTTATATATTTGTTGAAGAAATGTCCATTTAAATCTTGGCCCATATTTTAATTGGGTTATTTATCTTATTGTTGAGTTGTGAGAGTTCTTTATGTATTCTTGATACTCGACCCTTACCAGGCATAGGCTTACTAAGTACATTCTATTATACAGGTTGTGTTTTCACCTTCTTGATAGTGTCATTTGAAGCACAAAAGTTTTTAATATTGGTGAAGCCCACTTTATTTTTTCTTTGGGTGCCCGTGCTTTTGTTGTTATGTCTAAGAAACCACTGCCTAGCCCACAGCTGGGAAGGCGGGCACCTCTGTTGTGTCCCGGAGCACTGTAGTGTGGGCCCTTGCACCAGCGCTGTGGTCCGTTCTAAGGTACGTTTTTGTGCCCGTGTAAGGTCCAACTTCAGTCTTTTGCTCATGAATATTTAGTTGTCTCAGCACCATTCTGTCTTCTCCTGTGTCCTTTTTGATGTGCTCTTTTTGTTTTTTCAGCACTCTTTTATTTTCTGGCACAATACGATATTCCCTGGAATCAGTAATTTTTGCAAGTAGCAATGGTTCTTTCAGTGGGAAATGGTATTTGGAAACCATGATCTAGGTGGTTATTGGGTGTCATTGTTTTTAGGTTTGGTTTGTTTGTTTGTTTGTTTTTAGCAAATGGACCTTCCTACCTTCCTGCCTTCCTCTCCTCCCCCTTCCCTCCCTCCCTCAATTTATCTGTCTGTCTTTGTATATTGCAGACAGTGCATTTACAGCGATGCCTCCAATACCAGCCCAGCATCACAGGGTTCTTCCCAGGCCCCCCCCCTCCCCCCGCCATAACTGCATGTCTCTTCAACAGTGAGAGGCCCAGCTGCCAGTACATTTCTCCTCTGCTCAATTGCTACAATACATAGACAGCATTTTCAGAGTTGCTACACCACTGAGAATAAACACATCTACAAAGTAGAGTTTGTTCCCTTTTCATTTTTATTTCTTAAAGAATGCATGCACGTAAGAAAAGCCTTCAAGGTCAAAAAGGCTGACAGTGAAAAGTGAGTCTCCCTGTCACCCTGATTCCCAGTTCCTGCATGCCTCCACCAAAGCTACCCTGTTCTGTTTCTCAGGTGCCCCTCTGGGCAGCATCTCTGCACTGGTAGGCATCACGTGGGAGTGTCTGTCCCCCCTCCTTTTCTGCACACACAGAGACTATAAAGCACTTAGTTCCCCGCACCTTGCTTTTTCCCTACACAGCCTGTCTTGGAGAGTGTTCCGTATCAGTACATAGAATTCTGCCTCATTCTCTTATTGTCATGGGGTTGTGCCATGCTTGTTTGATTTTGAGAGAGAGAGGAAGGGAAGGAAAAAGAGAGGGAAACATCAATGTGTGGTTGCTTCTGGAGCGCCCCCTACTGGGGACCTGGCCCACAACCCAGGCATGTGCCCTGACTGGGAATCCAACCAGCAACCTTTTGGTTCACAGGCCGGCTTTCAGTCCACTGAGCCACACCAGCCAGGACTGTGCCATGCCTTTGATAGCACCTGTTAACTGTGTGGTGGGAGTGCTTTTCTCTTGCTGGTCCAACACTCACTGTCTGTGCTCCTGGTTAACACGAGGTTGTGGCTGCAGTGTGTTTACAGTGAGAACGTATCTTCTTGGATAGGGATTCTTCGGGGCTGGCGGCTGTCACAGGGGTCCTTGGTGGTAGCGACTGGGGGATTCCAGGTTGAAAGGCTTTGGTTTCCTAAGAGTGTGGCTTCATCCTACAGGGGATGTGGCCAGGGACTGTGCAATTCAGCCTTCTGTGACGTGGGGGAATGGAGTGTGAGGAAGGGGCAGCAGGCTGGGCTTTGGAGGGCAGTGCTGGTGCCAGGAGTGGAGTGTGTGCTTCTGCCCTGACCGCCTGGGCTAGGCGGGCAGCCCAGCTACCACCTCCTTTTTGTACTTTTCAGGACTCACTCACAAGCACAGACACCCAGCTCAGGCTACTGTGAACACACAGACACACAAACAAAGGGGAGCTGGTGAGGGGCTCGGCTGACTGAACGGTCCAGGCCCTGCTGGACCTAGGCGCCCACATTACCCCTCAGTCCACACCGGCTCCACCCGCAGAGCCTGCTCCCCCAGGTGTGAGCTTTCTGCAGCGTCCAGCAGCTCCTGTTCACGTTGTTTGCTCAACGGCCTGGCAGAATGCATCTCTCTTCCCGGGCTTCTGGTCTTGGAGCTGACACTCTCCCTGGCCCTCTTGGGTCACATTTCCTTCCTCAAACCGAGGTGATCCATCTAGAGAAGTGGCGTAGACGCTGGGCTGGAAGAAGGATCCAATGCCCTGTATGCCTTCCTCTCATCCAAATCCCACCTGCTCTCGGCGTTTGGTCTGGGTCCAGCCCAGTCACTTCGGGCTGGTGTCCTGAATCAGAAACCCCTGAACTTCCCTGGCAGTCCCTGGCCCGCCAGGTGTCCTCAGAGTTGATACGAGGCATAAACATGGAGATAGATGTTTGGCGGTTCAAAGCCTTCTCATACATGGCTTCTCACTCAAGATAATAAGGAGCTGTCCAGTGTGGTGGCAAGGAGCACAGATTTTAGCTCTCGCTGCTGTCACTTCGCAAGTCACAGCTGCAGCTTCCTTGGTGTCAGGATGGGATACTAACAGTTCCCCCCGGCACAGCATAGTTGTGAGATTTAAATGAGCAGAAACAAAGTATCTGCCTGCTGATGAACCAGCCAGTTCCCATCATGCAGTTCAAAGCCGACGGGACCTGAGACAGAAGCCAGGTCTTTCACCCCAGAGTTCAGGCTGCCTCCTGGGCCCATGGGCAGTGTGTAGGACAGAGAAAGCAGGGACAGGTTCTGCTTCTGTGTCTTGACTTACAGCCAGTGTCTCTCTGCAGCCCTCCAGGGGACCTCACTCTCAGCCACCCTCTCCTCGGTGATGTCCCAGTGTTGCCAGAAGATCAGAGATGCCGTGCAGAAACTGGCTTCTGACCACAAGGACATTCACGGCAGTGTCTCCCGAGTGGGCAAAGCCATTGACAGGGTGAGTGTGTCTGTGCAGATGGGGGCAGGATCCTGGAGTTGGTGTGTCCTGCACGTGGCCCATCGGGAAAGCAGGTGTGGGGAGTGTGAGTGCTGAATCACAGGGCCCCGTCTCGTTCTTGTCAGAACTTTGACTCTGAGATTTGCGGTGTGGTCTCGGACGCAGTGTGGGACTCGCAGGAGAAGCAGCAGCAGACCCTGCAGCTGGCCATTGTGGAGCACCTGTACCAGCAGGGCATGCTCAGTGTGGCCGAGGAGCTGTGCCAGGTAAGGGCCTGGCGGGGAGGGTGCTGGCGCTTGCCTACGCTGCTTTCTGCTCTGTAGTTTTCTTTATATTCCACTCCTGTTATTCTTGAAATTAGTTTATTTTAGAGAGGAAATCAGGCCTCCAGCCATAAATAGAAGGTAGCTCTAGAAAATAGAGACAGTGAAAAGGGAAGGCAGTCATTTCTGGTGGGGGGTTGGGTACCAGTTGGGGTTCTGAGTGAGGCCTGGTCCCCCTTTCTCAGGGAGGTTAGTAAGATGACAGAGTAGCACTGTTCAGTTAAAGCGCGCTGGCAGTGAAGGTAAAGGATCCCTTCTCTTAAAGTGACTAAGAGCATTGAAAAGGAATACTTTCTTACAGTGCTGCTCAACACCAGGCCTGGGGGCTGTCTCCCTTAGCCCGGGTGAGGTGATGGTCTGCCCTGAGCGAGGCCGGAGTATGGCACTCAGCTTCCCAGGATGAAAGTGGGAATGAGAGTAGCCATGTGGCAGGCTGGTGACAACTGCTCCTCATGCAGACCCTGGCTTTCTCCAGCCTGCCTGTGGCTGATGAGGTTTTCTTAGAGCAGAGCATTTTGGAAACATTGTCCTGCAGTGATGGGACCATGCTCTCCCACAGGAATCTACGCTGAACGTGGACTTGGATTTCAAGCAGCCTTTCCTGGAGTTGAATCGAATCCTAGAAGCCCTGCACAGACATGACCTGGGGCCGGCCTTGGAGTAAGTGGGCCCTGGGACGGACCAGTAAGGGACAGAGCTTGTCTGTAGTCTTCACCTCACCCAGCGCATTGATGTACCCCCAGCTCTGCCTGTGGCCTCACATAGGCCTTTGGAGACCACCTCTCTGTCCTGGCTGCCCCGGCACTCCTCCTCTTGCCTCACCAGCCTCACACTCAACTGGCCCTTTTCTCGGCAGATGGGCCGTCTCCCACAGGCAGCCTCTGCTCGAGCTCAACAGCTCCCTGGAGTTCAAGCTGCACCGACTGCACTTTATTCACCTCCTGGCCGGGGGCCCTGACAAGCAGCTGGAGGCCCTCAGCTATGCCAGGCACTTCCAGCCCTTTGCTCGGCTGCACCAGCGAGGTAAGTGCCCAGGGTGGGTGCTGCTGCCCCGGTGGACGTCACCTGTCACCAGGGTGCCACTCCCCAGCCTGAGAACTCCGACCCCTCCTTCAGTGTCTCCAAGGGGAACTTCAGGCTCAAGTCGTCCTCCTCTGCCTGTCACACCCTCCTAGCTTCATCTTAGAACCGCTTCCAGTCCCCAGCACCAGCTGTGTGCCACCCCCACACGCAGAGCACACGGGGCTGCGTGGGCCGTGGCAGGCCTGCCCATGTGCTGCTCTGCCTCGGCGCCCCCGCAGCTTCCTTCCCGAGCCCTCTCCCTTCACACTCGGTTCCCAAACCTCAGATGGTTGCTGTCAGTTCCTACCCTACTCTAGTAACTTTTTTCTTTAGCTCCCTTCATATTTATGTCTTATATATTTTATTGAGAAATAAATATCATGGAAACCAAGCAGTCTAATTAAACTTTAGCTTGATACCTCCTGAAGGCTTTTTAAAAAGGAATATATTAGCTAGTGTTGGCGAGCAGACATGAGTGCCGCCCGGAGACCTGAGTGAGATTCAAGATCCTCTCCCTGGCACAGTCCAGGGATGAGAAGAGCTAGGACCCTCCTTTCCTCCTGCGCAGGTTGGTGCCTGGCCTGGTCTCATGTAAGCAGTCCCATGGGATTTTAGGGAAAACCAGTTTTGCCTGAGGGCATTTCAGTCCCCGCCCCAGCCAGGCCAGGCGCCCTGGAGCCTTGGCCCTCGCCTTGCTTCCCACCCTGCCCTCCCTGCTGCTCCCGGGGCTGGGCTCCCGCCCTGGGGAGAGGCTGCCTCCTGGGCCCTGCACATCCTGAGCTGTGCGGTTGCCTTGTAGACATCCAGGTGATGATGGGCAGTCTGGTGTACCTGCGGCTAGGCTTGGAGAAGTCGCCCTACTGCCACCTCCTGGACAACAGCCACTGGGCTGAGATCTGTGAGACCTTTACCCGCGATGCTTGTTCCCTGCTGGGGCTTTCTGTGGAGTCGCCCCTCAGTGTCAGGTACAGCAGCCCTATGCACAGGACAGCGAGAGTGGGAGGATTTCAAGGGAAACCGTTTGCGAGGCCCTGCCATGTGCCGGAGACTGTGCTCGGTGCCTTCACAAACCGACCCTGGCTCTCCGAGTCATTCTTCCAGATAGGAATTACCTGCGTCCAGTTGGAGAAACTGAGATTAGGAAGTTATGGCCCGAGGTCACTGTGAGGTTAGCAGCAAGGTCAAGGTTCCTGTTGTGTAAGTCCTCTTGAATGAGGTCCTCATCTTGCCTGCACCTCACCACCGGATTATCACAAGACCCTCGGCACCTGGCCTTCCCCAGCCTCGCCTCTCAAACACCGCTTCCTCTCTGGTAGATTTGAGTGGCTGAGTTACGGGTGTCGAGAGCTTTCACTCGAAGTCTCCTGTACAGTAATGCTCTTCTTGTGAATCCACAGTGACCTAGGAGTTAAGAGGTACTACACCCTCACTTCACAGAAGAGAAAACAGAGGCCCCAGACGTGAATGAACTTGCCTACGGCCTCACAGGGAATAAAGGGCATGTGGACCTGCCCCCAGGGCCCCTCGCTGCACCACACACAGTGCCAAGGTGCATTTACTGAGACTGGTAGGGGGATTCCACACCCCGCCCCAAGTGCTAGACTCCGGTTGGAGGTCAGTGTTTCCCAGCAGGAACACTGCCTGCATCTCACGCAGGACAGCTGCCCTCTGCCTTGTAGGGATCTAGCACCCAAAGCTTTGGCCAGTTGGCTCCCGTCCCCACCCCCACCCAAAGCATGGTGAGGTCTGAAGCTGTGCTGTCTCCAAGTGCCCCACTTGGTAACCAGTTACAGGGGTGCAGGACAGCAGAGTGGGGCCGACGGGCCCTTTCACACTGACCACTGTCCCCTTCACACCAAGGACTTTTAAGTGGTTTGGATGTACAGATAACTGCCCCTGGGTCTTCCTTTTGTCTCCTGTAGGTTCTTAAGTTTTTTGTTCTTTTTTAAAAGGATTTTACTTATTTATTTTTAGAGAGAGGGGAAGGGAGGGAAAAAGAGTGACAGAAAACACTGATACGAGAAACAGATCGGTTGCCTCTCATGTCAACAGGGTACCTGGCCCACAACCCAGGCATGTGCCCTGATCTGGGATTGAACCAGCGACCTTTGGTTCGCAGGCTGGCACTCAATCCACATCAGCCAGGGCAGGTTCTTAAGTTTTGAGGTGCATTGGAATGACTCAAGTTGGACATGTGTGACTACATATGTGGCACTTTATGCAACCTGACAGATTCTCAAGGACCGAGTTGACCATGTGCCACTTTAGAACCCTGACCCGGGTCCCGTACCAGTGACACATGTGCTGGCCCTTTGGTTTGTCTGCTGGGGTCTTGGTCTGGCCACTCTAGCCCCTGCTCTCTGTTCTGCAGCTTTGCCTCTGGCTGTGTGGCGCTGCCCATGCTGATGAACATCAAAGCTGTGATTGAGCAGAGGCAGTGCACAGGGGTCTGGAGCCACAAGGATGAGCTACCGGTGAGCCCTGGCTGAGGTGTGGGTAGCAGGCACTGGGGAGGATGGCCACAGGACGTGGGACTCACCCCTGGGCTGCCCCCCCCCCCCCCCCAGATTGAGATTGAACTTGGCATGAAGTGCTGGTTCCACTCGGTGTTCGCCTGCCCCATCCTACGCCAGCAGACGTCGGAGTCCAACCCCCCCATCAAGCTCCTCTGTGGCCATGTCATCTCACAAGATGCACTTAACAAGCTCGTTAATGGAGGAAAGTAAGTGCCCTGTGCTCTTCCTTTCTGGCTTGGCTCCCCTACTGGCAGCCTCTCAGACGTTCCTGATTCTCCCTTGCAGGCTGAAGTGTCCCTACTGCCCTGTGGAGCAGAACCCAGCTGATGGGAAACGCATCATATTTTGACTCCTGCCTAGAAGGAACTTGGTTTAAACAAGTTTTTCACCCGTGAGCCTTGCTGCCTCATGGGATGGTTGGCTTCAGTGGATGGTGGTTCATTTCAGAGCAGCTAGCTGGCTGAGTGCCACCACAACAGGGGCCAAGAGGGAGGCGAACCAGCCTGCACTGGACAGTTGGCTGCTGGACTGTCCCAACAGGGAAAGACTGGCTTCTAGATCCCATTGTCTCCCTGCTTCTGTTGCCACTGACTTGGTAGCAACTGACAGAGGAGCGGAGGACTTGGGCGGCGGCGGCAAGTCTTCCATCCCTGCCCTCTACCAGGTCTCCTCCCGCTGCACAGCCTCACCACTGTGTTTATCGCCCACTGTAAATACCCCGGGTTAGAACTGAGTGCCATTGCTTTGTAACTTTGAGCAAATATATTCACAGGCCTACTCCTTCCCTTAGCTTCACCAACAAATAATTCCTACATGTCCACGGCACACAGGTATTGGCCTGGTTGCTGCCGCCACTGGGACCATGGCAGCCAGTGCCCAGTCAGCAAGAACCCGACCTGCAACTCTGCTAGGGTAAAGAGGCTGGCAGCTCCCAGCCCCTGGGGAAAGTGCCTTTACACACCTAGGCATAAAATCACATCACCTCCATGTTAGAAATCAGCGCAGGGGCATTTGGGAAGATGAAATGACTTGTACCACAGGGCTCACGGTTTGTCAGGGAGAACTTGGGGGTTTAAACCAGGATAAGCCCAAGCTCTTTCTGGTTTACTCCAGGGTGCCCAAAGCCTGCCCACTTTGTGCAGTGAACCCTGTGCTGGCCTTGAGAGTTGGAAAATACCCGAAGCCTAAAACATCGGAAGTGACTGGATTACCAGGGCCATTATGCCAAGTCAGAGAGAGGGCCTGGGATTTTGCATTTAGCTTCACACTCCTATTTCAAATGCCCTGTGTGGGTGGGCAAATTGCTTCCATAAGCTCCCAGTGGCACTCAAGGCTCAAAGACTGGGGTGTCCCCACCAGAGGCTGCAGGCTTCCATGCAGTGGTCTGGGCTCAGCTGTCTTACCCTGCAGCTCCCCCCTGCTCCGGGAGTGGGAGGTGAAGGCTTGGGGGTGGCAGCCAAGGCTGTTCTCAGCTTGAGTCTAGCACCAGCCCTGGCACCCAGGCGTCAGTACTGAACACCCGTCAAGTCCTTCAGGTCCTCGGGCGAGAAAGGCTGCTCCAGTCTTCCCTGCCCACCAATTCCATGGCCCCACCAGCAGCTTCTGCTTTAAAACACCCACAGGCTCATCACAGTTTAGTCAGCATTTACTTCCCTTCACACCTCATTCTTGGAACTGAGTGCCAGGAAACTCAACAGGAAACAGCACTGAGGGAGATGCTGTCAGAGTTGTGTAGGAAAATGTGCTTCGGGAGGCTGGGAGACACTGAATGTGCACAGGAGGAAGGCGGCCAGCTGGCCCCCTGCCAGCCCAACAGCTTCTGGAGCAGGTGCCCAGGCTGCTGCCCAAGGCCTTCAGATGGGTGGGGGCAGGGCTTGCACCTCCTCCAGGCACTCGTCATATGCCTCCTGGTACTCCTCGTGGGGCCTGACCATAATCACACAGGTGGGGCGCTTGGAGCCTGTGGCTGCACCCAGGTCCTGCACAGAGAAAGACAAGCTGTTTGGAAAAAAGCCACACACCTGTATGCCAGGGGTGACATACTGATGACCCATGGTTCTCATCTGTCTGACAAACGTGCTGTTTGGTCAACAACTATTTAATATTTAAAAACATTTCAAATTGGTTGCCATTATTTAAAGTCAGCAAACTTTCAAATGGTCCAACGATACTGGGCCTGCATTTCCACACAGTAACCGTGGAAGGGCCCCAGCCCACCAGGGGCTGTCCCCTTAGGGCCCATCCTTTCCAGGTTCCTACCATCACCCACTCCCTGTGTCCCAGACCTAGCTCCTGCTACACACGGAGGAGCCAGGTCCCTATAAAACACCCCCTCTGAGTACTGCACCCACCTAGCAGGACTAAGACAGGTGCAGCATGTTAGCTGACAAAGCACGTCCACATAAACCTTGTTTCATTCTCACAGGCTGCAGAGGAGGGGATTCCCATTTTACAAGAAGGAAATAGAGGTGCTGAGGTAATTTGCCAGCAGTCCCCCACCCAGGAAGCAGCAGAACCAAGAATCCACACAGCCCATATTAAGCTCACACACTTTCCACTGTGGCTGCAGTGGCTGCTGCAGACCCCATCCTGGACCCTCTCCTCCAGTGCTGACTGGGATCAGGGCTCTAGCACTCCTTACCGTCTTAGAGGGGATATAGACGTAGGGCAGATTTCGGTCCTCACACATAACCGGGAGGTGGCAGTATACCTCAATGGGCAATGTGTCTCCTGCCAGAACCATGATCCTGAAATGGCAGAAACAGTCATTTCTAGCTGCTCATTCCCTCTTTGGCCTTTGGGGTACAGACCCAGGTAAGATGGTTCCTGCTCTCAAAGAGCCCAGCTATTAATGTGGGTCGCTTGGCCTCTGAAAATGTAGCAAATTTGTTTGGTGACTGGGTTCCTCTGGGGAGGTGATCTCTATTTCTTGGCAACAAATGCCACTGAGTGTGACAAAGTGGTATTGCACTGGAGCAAATGAAGTATAGCAGGGACTCCAAGGAACAAGAGCTCAATTGTCTTTGGAGAGTCAGAAGGGAACCAGGAGGCCACACCTGAAGAGACAGCTGAATAATGACTGTCTGGAAGGCCCTGGAGGGTGGTGGGTGGGGAAAGCATTTAAGGAGGAGAACCAGAATGGCACCAGATACACAGAGGCTGGCTAATGGCAGCCTGGATGGCTTGGGAATCCAGGATGGAGAAATGGTCAGACAAGACCAGAGAGATTGGCAGGGGCCACATCTAAGGGCCTTGAGTGCCAGGCTAAGAAGCATGGGCTCAGTCCCAAAAGTGACAGGGAACCAGTGAAGACTTGCCAGAGGATCTTCAGCTAGGGTTCCTAGCTGGCAAGGTTCCAGGGCTCTGGCAAGGGCCTCTGGAGCCCTGAAGACACAGAAGGAAGAGTCTGTTCTCCAGGAGTGAGATGCAAACATTTGGAGAGAGCTCCTAGGTCCATACTCTCCTAGTTTTCCTCTTGCCTCTTGGACCCTCCTCCTCTGCAGGCTCCTATTCTTTGAGTAGCTTTTAAATGCTGGTGCCCAACTGTCCTCTCAGTACCTTCTTGCTGAGCCCATCCATGGCCATGTCATCAAGTCCCATCTATATGCTGATAACTCCCAGATCTATTCTCTCCAGCTTGGCCCTCTCTCTTCCAAGCTTGCAGCCCATCTGGCCATTTGCCTATTGAACAGCTCTGCTAGGGAGAGGGGTCACAAGTCTAAAAGGTACCTCAAATTGTCTAAAATCAAACACAAACCCAGCCCCCTCCACTGTTCACTATCTCAGTGAGAGGGCCTCCTGTCCGTCCAGCTGAAGTCCGCATCCCCTCACTCCATGTCCAAAAGTCCTCTCAGATACAACCACTTTAATTCTCTCCATTTCCAACCTAAACAAAATCACCCTCACCTCTTCCAGACTACAGTAGCCTATTTCAGTGTCCCTGTCTACTCCTGAGCCTCTGATCCTTTCCAAAGTTCACACTCCCTGGCTTTAATCCTCAGTGCCCTCCCAAAGCTCTGAATACAAACACTTACCCTGGCTCACAAAACCCCCCGAGAAGATAGCACTTCTGCCCACTAGCACCCTCTCCTGCCCTGGGACCTACTTTCTTCTGGCAGAGTTCCTTCCCTCCAAACCACTCCCTCCATCTTCAGATCTTAACTACCCTGGCCTAGGTAAGACTCCCCATCGAGCATCAAATCTCCCCAGCAATCTACCTCTTGAAAACCCACAAGGTACCAGACACTTCTGAGGATAAAGCGGAGAGAGACTTTATCAAAGAGCCTACCGTCTGGCCTAAGTGGGAGATACAAGAAATAAAGATGCAAGTGAATTTCAGATTCTGATCAATGCCAGAAAAGAAAGATGTAGGGTAATGGAGTCTCTCACTGCATCCTATACTTTTTACTTTTCCTTCATAGTTAGCGGTCACAACTTGACATTTTTTGTGTGACATTTGATTAATTGTCTTCCCATGGCACAGTACCTAATAGAACTGACACTGAAATAGCTGAATGAATGAAGGTGGCTCATTCGATTTGCTTCCCCTGGAATTAATTTTCCCCGTGGTGTCCTTTTGAGCTAGGGTAAGTGAAGTGACGTATTGATTCACCGTAGTGAAGGTAATTTACTGACTACTTGATTATTTTCTAATAGAATCAACGCACTTTTACTGAGCACCTACTAAATAGCAGGAATACTGCCCTGGCTGATGTGGCTCAGTGGACTGAATGCCGGCCTGTGAACCAAAGAGTCGCTGGTTCGATTCCCAGTCAGGGCACAAGCCTGGGTTGCCTGCCAGGTCCCCAGTGCGGGGGGCGCTCCAGAGGCAACCACACATCGATGTTTCTCTCCCTCTCTTTCTCCCTCTCTCTAAAAATAAGTAAAATCCTTAAATAAAATAAATAGTAGGAATACTTTCATTGCCGTTTAAAATGCAAAATCCAGCGGGAGGGTGTTCTTACCCTTTCTCGCCTTTGTTGACAAACTTCTGAACCTCCTTCACCCCACGCCGAACATGCCTCTGCTTCGCGGCTGCAACGATAAAAGGATTAGTTCAGGGGGCCTCGTCCCGCCACCCACGTTCCCACGGGCCACCGCAGCGCCCGCCGGACCTTTCTTGATGCATTTGTAGAGCTTCCGAGTGAGGCGACGAGAAGCCAGAGGCTGTGCGATGGGGTTCAGGTTCACCAGCAGCTCGTGGTAAGTGCGCTCCCCAGAGGACGCCTCCGCCTGAGCCTCGTGCCCCTCGGGATCTCCCTTTATTTTGGTCATCTCAGCGGCCGCGGTTCCGACTCACAGCAGGTGACCCACGCGGCCCGCGCTCCTGGAATCACTTCCGGATCCGCTCTAGTTAAGGCGGTGGAGCACCACAACCAATTAGGAAACGAGGCCTCGGACTCAGACCAATCGTTGACTCTCAGCTCTTTAGGTACGAAGATAGGGGCGGAGTCTCGGCCACAGGGGCGGGGTCAGTCCCTCCACTGAGAAGCGGGGCGGGGTTCGGGCCGCTCACCACACGCCCCGAGGGAATCCGAGGCTAGGGGCGGGGCCCTGAGGGGGCGGGGCCTGCGGGAAGCGAGAAGCAGGGGAGGGACCTGGGAACCTACTCTGCCTGGTGCTTGTGCGGACGCCCTGGGGAGCAGGAGGAGGAGGCAGTTCTAAGCGGACGGGATCCTTCTAAGAACCTTCGGTTCTGCGACTTGGGAGCTAGTATGCGAAGTCTGCCCAATGCGATTGCACGTCGCCTTAGAATCTGCCTCCTCAGGTAGACAGTGCGCAGCGTGGTTAGGTCCCGGGAGCTGAGCTGGTCCTGGGTGGTGTGCCCCGGGTGCCACGGTTCAGGTGAAGCCTGGCGCTGCTAACGGCTTCCTCCGTCCTCTCACTATTTCTGATACTCTACTTTCTCTTCCCTGGCACGTGATGGACACCCCGCTCGCCCAGCGCCTCGGTCTGGACCACCTTTCCCCAGAGAGGCAGGGGCTCGCTCCCTTTTTGCCGCAGAGTTCTACCCACATGTTGCCCACAGGAGAGAGCCCCTGGTGACAACCGTATCTAAAATTACAGTGCCTCCCCCACCCCGACCTCCCCCTAACCTTCACTCCTCGTACTGCCCACTGCCGCCTGGCCTCACACACGGAGGACACCATGTGCAGTGAAGAGGAAACCTGCATGGACACCGTAGGGCCCGCCTTCCGGGGTGGCGTGGGGACAGCTCCGAGTCGGCCTCGGGTTTGCAGTTAGTGTAAAGGATTAGCGGACAGCGACACCTGGGAGACAAGCTGGCCTAGGCTGGGGCGGATCTTAATATCTCCCACTTAGTTCTCCCGTTGTCTTAGAACACTGCATGGAAATTAATTAGGTAATTGCTACAAATTATTTGCCTTTGATTATGGGGTAGAAGCCCTGCCATTGTGGTGGAGCAGGCCTATATTTGAAACTTCAGAAGTGTGCAGGTGTTCGTGGGATCGCAGGTCAGTCAAGCCACCTTAAAAATTGACCTTGTAACCCTGTAACCAGTGATTAAATAAAAAACTAAATACCTGTAGGTTTTTAAAATTTAGTATGTTAGCCCTGGCTGGTGTTTAGTATGGATTGAGCGCGGGCCTGTGAACCAAAGGATCGCCTGTTCGCGGGCCAGGTCCCCAGGAGGGGGCGCGCGAGAGGCAACCACACAGTGATGTTTCCCTCTCCCTCACCCCCTTAAAAAATAAAATAAAATTTCGTATTTTTTAAAGATGTCTTTATTTATTTTAGAGAGAGGAAGGGAGAGAGAGAGGGAGAGAAACATCAATGTGTAGCTGTCTCTTGTGCACCCCCAACTGGGGATCTGGTTGGCAACCCAGGCATGGGCCCTGACTGGGAATGGAACCCATGACCCTTTGGTTCGCAGGCCGGCACTCAATCCACTGAGCTACACCAGCCAGGGCAAATTAACTATTTTAATAAGAAAAATTAGGATACAATTCATCCTAACCTTAGATCCCATCTAATTTCACAAAAAGGAAAATAGATCAATTGAACAATGAAAATATGTTATATAAACAATAAAAAATAACTTGAAAGTAAATACAGTTTGTATGCACCATGTAACCCAAAACTGACCTTTTTTTTTTTTTCAATCCTCACCCCAATGACATTTTTTCATTGCTTTTAGAGAAAGGGGAAGGAAGGAGGAGACAGAAAGAGAGAAAGGTTGATTGGTTGCCTTCTACACACCTTGATCAGGGATGTAACCAGAAACCCAGGCATGTGCCCTGACAGGAATCAAACCCCATGACCAGAAGGTCTACAGGATGAGGATCCAACTGACCAAGCTACACCAGCCAGGGCAAAAATCGACCTTTTAAATGTTTTCACTTTAGAATTAAAAAAAATCCTCATCGAAGGATATTTTATTATTGGTTTGAGAGAGAGAGAGAGAGAGAGAGAGAGAGAGAGAGATTTATGAGAGAGAGAAACGTTGGTTGGTTGCTTCCTACAGCCTAGGTGTGTGCCCTGACTAGGAATTGAACCTGCAACTTTCTGGTGTATGGGTTGATGCTCCACCATCCCAGGCACCTGGCCAGGGCCATGTTGGGATTTTTTGAGCCAAGACAGCCCTTCCTGCTGTTTAGGACCAGCTTTAGGACTGACCATGGTTACTGTCAGTTTTGCCTGACTACTCGCCCCAAACCCTATCCTTCTCCTTCCTCCTCTGAGTCCTGCCATGGCCGTTCTGTCCTTCTCTGGGAGGACAAGTACCTCTGAGCACATAGCGGGCAGGGGTCTGCTGCAGGGTGCTTTTCTGTTCCTCTTTCTGGGGGGTGTTCTTGTGAACAGTTCCAGGACTGTAGAACAGATGACAATGTATCCAGGCCGCAAAGGGAAGAGGTGCTGCCAGATGTGTGCATGTGGCAGTCAGAAATCTGTCCAGCAGAGAATTTCTTCCAGGAAATCCAAGTCAAGCAAATGTGTATGACTGCCCTTTCTAAGGCCTCATTTGCAGGCCTCTTAGTTCTTATGTAGAAGGAATAATGTTTATGTGCCAAGCATGTTACATGTAACATCTCTTCCTATGCTCACAAAGAATACCTTCAGTATTTTCTGAGGCTTCTAAAGGTCCATAACTCCATCCAGTTCACACAAAGCTGGATTTGAGCCCAGGCCTGCTCGTTTCCAAGCCTGTGCTCAGCCCTGTAAATTTGGTGTTTGACCTTAGCTCAAAGATCATGTAACATGGCTGGATAGTGAAAGTGCAGAAACCTTGGCCTGGCCACGTCGTGTCAGTTTTTTGTGACAATGAAGTAGCAAGAACAAATATATTCACAGTAAACTACACTGTTGTGCCAGGTCCAAGGTGATTTATGTGACTTTACTGATTTTGTTCAAATAGCCACTGGAGCTCACTTGAAGAATTGTAGAGTAGGCAAGAACATAATGGTCAGTGGACAGTAGACCAGGGATCTATATGACAAATGGCTTTGGACAAGTCATTTAGTCTCTCTGGGCTTCAGTGCCTAGTCTATAAAGTGAGAAAGTTAGATTTAGATGGACTAAGGTCCTATTTTTTTTAAATTGGGGAGGATGATTTTTTTTTAAGTTGAGATATAATTCACATACCATGTAATTTGCCCTTTTAAAGTATACAATTCAAAACAAAGAAAAAAAGAAAACTGAAGTGTACAGTTCAGTGGTTTTAGTGTATTAACTGAATTTGCAGCCATCACCAAGATCAATTTTAGGCCATTTTCATCAGTTCAGAAAGAACTCCTTTAGCTATCACTCTCTAACCACCTAACCTTCCATAGGCCTGAGTCACCCACCACCGATCTGCTTTCTGTCTGTATGGATGTCCCTGTTTGGGACATTTTATAGAAGTGGAGTCATATAGTATGTGGCCTTTCACATCTGGCTTCTTTCACTCAACATAATGTCTTCAAGATTCATCCATGTTGTAGCCTGTGTCAGCACCCCACTACTGCCTGACATTCTGGCGTATGGACGTACCACGTTTTATCCGTTCATTTGCTGATGGACATTTGGGCTGTTTCCAGCCTTTGGCTCTTGTGAATAGTGCTGCTGTGAACATTCACAGTCATAGGAGTTTTCATATGGGCATACCCTCCCTCTCCATTCTCTTGGGTATGCACCTTGAAGTAGAATTGCTACGTGAAATGGTAACATTATGTTTACCTTTTGGGGGAGCTGCCAGGCTGTTTGTTCAGAGTAGATGCACCGTTTCTGTTTCTACCAGCAGTGCACAAAGGTTCCAGTTTCTGCACATTCTCACCAGCACTTGCTGTTACCTGACTTTTTCATTACTGTACAGTAATCCGAGTGGGTGCAGAGTAGTGTGTTCATTCTGGTTTTGGTTTGCATTTCCCTGATAGCTAATGATGCTGAACAACCCTTCCTGTGTCTATTGGTTCTTTGCATAACTTTGGAGAAATGTCTGTTCAGATCCTTTGCACATTTTTTGATTGAGGATGAGTTTTAGAGTTGACTTTCACCAAGCTAGATGCTTACTCTAGGAGCTGAAGTTCAAATAAAAGAGAAAAATAAAATTATATGTAGTTTATGTAATTTATTGGACATCTGTTTAATTCCTTAAACAGATTAGTATGACACCAGTAGTTGTAATACTGACACCAGTATCAGTGTGGCCAGTATTAGCCAAGCTGATCTTCCCTACGTGCCTGCCTGGTTTTCTTAGCAGCAACTGGTGTCTCCTCAGAAATAAATGTCCAGATTTGGGCAGAGTTTAAGGACAGAGGGACCATTAAGTGGTGGACGGAACCCTCCTTGGGCCTGCTGCTTGGGACACACCTCACTATGTAAAGCTGTGTGCTTAGAAAGGGCAGTGTGGCACTTCAGGAAAATGCGCATTTTTAGGATCAGAGTTTTGGCTTTGGATCTTAAAATTTATTATTTTAAAGGTGATAATGTTTATGTTAATTTTTTTTCAGATAGTACATAAGAATATAAAGCAAAAAGTTATATATCCTTCCTCCCCAACCTCTATTTCCCCCATTGGAGCTCACCAGAGGTAGTCACTATTAGTTTTTTTGTGTACATGGGCATATATGTATTTATATATGTATTTATATACATTAAGTATATTAAATAATATAATATACTCTTCTGGACATTTATTTCCACTTATCAATATATATCTTGGGAAAATTTTCGATTTCCATCATGGAGATAAATCTTTTAATGCCTTTGTCATATCACATTGTATGACTGTCCATAATTTATTTAGATAGCCCCTACTGATAGAGTTTAGTTTGTTTTTAGTGTGTTTACTACTTTAAGTAAGTTTTCAATGAGTATTGTACAATATCTTTGGTACTTTTGTGAGTCTATCCAGAGACAAGTTCCTAACATGTATAATTATGACATGTGCAGTATTGTCCACTTGTCCTCCACAGAGTTGTGACGGACAGCTGCTCGAGTGGTGTCTCTCCATCACTTGCCGAGCCCAGGTTTTGTCAACCTGTCACAGGGTGAGGAGGGGTGGCGACCCAGGAGGGAGAAGTGGTGTCTTGTTCTCATTTACGTCTCTTTAGTTCGGAAGGAAACTGGATATTTCATGTTTTGACAGGTCACTTGTGGGGTTTTTTTCCTGTTAATTCCCTGTTTTATTCTAATCTCTACTCTATTCTAATAGAGTTGTCTCTTACTGCTTTAGAAAAGTTTTTGCTACTTGAAGGAAACTTTTTGAGTGCCTGCGTGCTTTCATTGTTTATATGGAAATTTTTGATCCTTCAGGTTCAATGTGGCCGTAGGAGCAAGGTAGGGCCCCAGAGCTCCAAAAGGTGAGCTTGACCTTCCTCCAGATGGCTAGCCACTGTCCTGCTGCCACTTACTGAATTCTTTCTCTTTCTATCCATTCATTTAAAATGCTTCTGTTGGGGTCCTGGCCAAGTAGCTCAGCTGGTTAGAGTTTTGTCCCACTATGCCAAGGTTGTGGGTGTGGTGCCCAGTCAGGGCACATACAAGAATCAGCCAATGAATGCATAAATAAATGGAATGACAAATCAATGTCTCTTGCTCTCGCTTTCTCTCTCCCCTTCACCCTTCCTCACTCTAAAAAATAAATAAATAAATAAAAATGCCTCTGTTGGGGCACACTCCCTGCTGGGAGCACACCCAAGTGATTCTTCCCTCTCAGGCGTGCATCTCCTAAACTCTAAGGGACCTCATGAGACTTGCATCCAGGGGAGCAATGGGCAGCGACAGCTTGCTTTGGGCTGACCCCCTGAACCTGTCCCCAGGGCCCCTTTTCTCTGACTTCCCAGTGAGTTGACAGCAGCCCCACCAGGCTCACTTCTTTCCTGTGTAACGTTTCTGGAGAGCTAGGCCTGAGCTCTTTCCTGTTGCTGCTTCTATCTTAGATGCTTCCTTGTTTCACTGTCCCCTACTTTAATAAACATACTCTCAAAATTAAAAAAATAAATAAAAAGAATAAAATGCCACTGTTGTATACTAGATTCTAATTTGTGTTTGGGTCTTTTTCCAGGCTGTCTCATCTTTCTCTAGTACTAAATTGCTTTGATGGCAGTAGTGTTTGCTTTTTAACATCTGCTCTGTTCAACAATTTTTAATGTCTAGTAAGGGTTTGGCAGTTTACCGATTTAAATCAAGTCTTGGGAAAAGCAGGCTATGGTGGGAAGAGGAGAGGTCTGGGAGTCAAACAGACCACAATTTAAAACATGTTTTTCTTCTCACCTGAGGACAGATTGTTTCACTTTACCATGCTTTGGTTTTACTGTGTTTGGTGTTTTCACCTTTAAACAGGGATGAGAATTGAGTGAGACGCTGCTACCAGGAAAGGCCCTGGCTGCTGATGGGCAATGCTGGACATGGAGGCTCCAGGCCAAGCCCCAGGGCAGCACCCTGAGCCTGAGCTTTAGAGGACCAGAATGAGGAATCTGCAAGACCAAGGGTACATATCCCCCTGCCCCTAATCTTCCAGGTGCAGGAATTGAGTCCATGACCAGAGCCTGCCCAGCCCTCACCCCCATCTGCTCTTCAGAGGTCTGAAGGGTAGCCAAGGTGTGGGTGAGTGGGCGAGAGGGGCATGGATATTTGGCTTGGGGCACGGGTACATGTGCGTGTGGGTATCCTCACTGTACAGAACAGAGTGGGGCAGGTAGGAACATGAGGGGGGTGTCAGGGGCTCTATCTGTGTTCCTGCCCTGAACCTCTCCACTGACCAGCAGGCCTGCTTCCCTTCTCCTTTCCCTCATGACCACAGGTTGGTGGGGGTGGGGAGATATGTTCATTTGTCCCAACAAGCACATCTCTAAGGCTTCCCTCAGAAAGTCCTGTAAACTGGGTGGCTTAGAACACACACTGATTGTCTCACAGTTCTGGAGGATGGAGGTCTGAAATCAAGGTGTCAGCAGGCTGTGCTTTGTGTGCAGGCTCCAGGGGAGAATCTGTCCCCGGGCCTCTCCCCTTGCGTTGGGTGTGGCTGGCAATCCCTGGTGTTCCTTAGACACCTCCTTCTGTGCTTCGTTGTCCCGTGACTTTCTTTCTGTGAGTCTCTGTCTTCACCTGGCATTTTTTCCTTTATATAAACACTGCCGTCACACTGCATTAGGACCCACTCCCGTGACCTCATCTTAACCTGGCTATATTTGCAAAGACCCTATTTCCACATAAGGTCACATAAAGATTTTACTTATTTACTTTTAACTTTAGCTTTTTAAAAAGATGTTATTTATTTATTTTTAGAGAGGGAGAAGGGAAGGAGAAAGCGAAGGAGAGAAACATCAATGTGTGGTTACTTCTCACACACTCCCAACTGGGGACCTGGACCTGGCCAGCAACCCAGGCAAGTGCCCTAGACTGGGAACTGAACCAGCAACCCTTTAGTTCACAGGCCAGCACTCAATCCACTGAGCTATACCAGCCAGGGCTGAGTGCATGGATTTTTATGGTATGTCAATGAAAAGGTGAGGGGAAAACCCCAAGAAGAAGTGGCTAGAATGCAGAAGGAAAATCTGGTGACTGGCATGAGGAAGTTGCTCTACCTTGGGTCATATCTTAAAGTCCATTACCCCCCCCCACCCCCAGGAGAAGGCCAGTTTTTACTTATTTTTTAAAAAATCCTCACCTGAGAATATATTTTTATTGATTTTAGACAGAGAGAGAAAGGGAGAGAGAGAGGGAATGGGGGGCATTGATGTGAGAGAGAAACATTGAGCCATTCCATCTCATAGGGGCCCCGACTTGGGTCTGAACCCAAAACCTAGGTATGTGCTCTGACCCGGGACCAAAGCTGCAAACTTTTTGGTACACAGGATGATGCTCCAACCAACTGAGCTGCCCAGCCAGGGCCAGTTTTCACCTTTTTGGCAAGGTGGAGGTAGATTAACTGGGGATAAGAGTACTTGTTGGCAACAATTAAATTCTTAAAAAAAAGATTTTATTTATTTATTTTTAGAGAGGGTGAGGGAGGGAGAAAGAGAAGGAGAGAAACATGGATGTGAGAGAAACATCCGTCTCTTTCCTCTTGTACATGCTCCAGCCAGGGACCCAACCTGAAACCCAGGTGTGTGCCCCAACTGGGAATCCAACCAGTGACCTTTTGCTTTGCAGGATGACTCATGGGCTACGCTGGTATGGGCCAGAAGTTAAATTCTTATATATTGTTCTTCATTGCTGGAAGTACTGACCTGGTAGCCAGAAGAAGGTCAATTTTATTTTATTTTAATTATATTTTGTTGATTATGCTGTTATGTTGTCCTGATTCTTCCTCCCATGCCCCCCTCCATCCAGCAACCCCCACTCCCTCAGACCATCCCTACAACATTGTTGATGTCTGTGGGTTTCGTGGGTAAGTTTTTTGGCTACTCCATTTCCCATATTGTACTTTACACCCTCATGACTATCCTGTAACTACCTATTCGGACTTTTTAATTCCCTCACCTATCCATGAATTTGTCTGTTCCAGAAGGTCAATTTTAGAAGGAACATCTCCTCACCAGGAAAAGATTTACTGACAGGAGGTGACAAAGGAAAATGGGTGGGCCTGGTGCTAGAGCGCACTAGGGTGTCCAACCCGTCGGGGATGGGTATGAATGCGGCCCAACACAGAATCGTAAATTTACTTGAAACCTTTTCTTTTCTTTTGTTCATCATTTAGTTTTCATTAGCGTCTGTGTATTTAACGTGTGGCCCAGAGAGCCAAAAGTTTGGACACCGCTGGTGGTGACTGGTGCTGCTTCCGGAAAAGCAGAAGTCGCAGGACTAGGAGAGGTGGGAGCGGGTGTGCCTGGGAGGAGGCTCTGAGTCAGGGAGCAGGCAGGATTAAGGTGTAAGAGGTCGGCACTGGTAAGGTGTTTGCCACGGGGGTCCAGGAGAAAAAGAGGACGGGACCTGGAAATCCGACCCAAGCCTCAGTAGGCCCAGTCGGAAGTATCCGTTGGGGCCTCCCAGTGTCCACCGGATGGCCCGACCTAGCCTGGGATTGGTCCTTACCTGGAGGACGGGAGCCTCGAGCATGCGCAGTTCGCCCAGCGGGCGTGCCGGAAGTGCTGCGCTAGGAGCCTGAGGTCGGTGAGTCCCAGGGCACTGTTGGAGCGGCGGGGGCTTCTTTTGCAGGAAACAGGATTTGGTGAGGGAGGGAGGAGGTTATTCCAGGCAAATGGAGGTTTGCGCTGCCATAATGATCCGGAAGCCACGGATGTGGGGCTCCGGCCAAGGGAGGCGGAGATTGCCCAGGACGCTGGGAGAAGGCGACCGGTGGGCAGGCCACGGGAAGTGTACTGAGTCCGGCGCGGTGCGGGGGGAGGGGCGAGGGAGGCGGGCTCGATGGGCGGTTGCTGCCAGAGGTGTAGATCCAGGGACGATGGCAAAGGGTCAATGAGTGAACGACTCAAGACCTGTGCTCGGTTTTCATCGTCTTTATACCCATTTCAGTGCTGGCCTGATTTTTCAATGAAGAACATTGAGGCTCAAAAAGGGGAAATGCCTTGTTCTAAGACTCAGAGTTGGGACGCGGGTCAGCCGGGACTTGAGCTGAGCCTCTTGATTCTAAAGCCAATCTGGAGCTCCTGTATTGGAGGTTAGGCGGCAGCTGAATGGTCTAGAACAGGGCCAGGGAACTTTCCCTACACAGGATCAGATAGTATTTTCCGCTTTGTGAGCCAAGAGGCGAAATCGAGGGTATTATGTAGGTAAGTACATAATACAAGAAGAGATAAAACAAAGGAGGTGAGGGCAGGGGGAGGAGGGCATTGGGGCGGGGATAAATGGTGGTGGAAGGAGGCTTGACTTGGGGTGGTGAGCATACAGTACAGTGTGCAGATGATGTGTTGGGGAATGGTGCCCCCGAAACCTGCATGATTGTGTTACTTAGTGTCGCCCCAATAAATTCAATAAAAAGGAAAAGATAAAACATTCTATACATTTTTATTGACAGAATTAAAAACTTTATTTTAAGGACACTAAACTTGAATTTCATAGGACTTATGTGTCATGAAATACTTTTGATTTTAAAAAACCATCTAAAATATAAAAACCTGTTTTTGTTCAAGGGTCATACACAATCAGGCAACTGGCCAGATCTGGGCCATGGGCCATAGTTTGCCAACCCCTGGCAAACTCTGCTGTCCAAGGCAGTGGCCACTGACCACATTGGCTACTGAGCCCTTGAAAGGTATCTGGCCCAAATTGGATGTGCTATAAGTATAAAGTCTACGATAGATTTCAAAGACAGTGCAAAAAAAACCAAGTAAAATAATTTTCTATGTTGATTACATGTTGAAATTTTAATATTTTGGATAGATTGCACTAAATATTTTATTAAAATTAATTCATCTGTTTTTTAAAACGATTTTTATTTATTTTTAGAGAGGGGGAGGGAGGGAGAAAGGGGGAGAAATGTCAGTGTGAGAGAGAAACATCTATCAGTTGCCTCTTGTATGTGCCCCATTTGGGGATCGAACCTGTAACCCAGGATGCCAGAATGTGCCCTGACCAGGTGAACTGGTGACCTTTCACTTTGCGGGACAATGCCCAACCAACTGAGCCACACCAGTCAGGGCTCACCTGTTTGTTTTGACCTTTTTGTTAATTGTCTAATACTTTATGAGAAAATGTTAAACTATACATGTGTTTGCATTTCTGGCTTACATCGTATTTCAGTTGTATAGCCCAGCTTGGGACTGAAGCTTGGGGGGAGCAGGTATTTGGAGGGGGGCCTCTGGGAGATGATTAGGTCATGAGGATGGAGCCCTCATGAATGGGACTAGTGCTCATATAAAAGGGACCCTAGCCAGCACCCTCACCTCTTCTGACACTGAGAGAAGACAGTTGTGTATGAACCCGGAAGTAGGCTCTTACCAGAAACCAAGCCTGTCGATGCCTTGATCTTGGACTTTCCAGGCTCCAGAACTGTGAGAAGTAGTGTTTGTTTATAAGCTTCCCAGTTTTTATAGTATTTTGTTACAGCAGCTTGAATGGACTAAAACACTCCCCTTCTCTGACCTTTGGTTTCCCTCTCTGTTAATGAGGGGTTTGAACTTGACCTTTGAAAGTGATCATCTCTTGATCCTTTTCTAGCCATTAGGGACTAATGTACTAGAAGACTGGGATGAAATAGACTACTGCTGGAGGCGGTTGTGACCAGGAAGTGAGGAGGTTGTCACCCTCAGTGGGATGGTTTTCTCCTTGAGGGAGGCAGACGCTGTTTGCCTACCACTTGCCCCACTTTCCTTGCCAGGCCTGGCATTCAAGCCCTTCACCTGGTGGTTCTGGTCCAACTTTCCAGCCTTACTGCCCATCTTGCCCCATGCATGGAGTGGGGGTCATAGCCACACATGGATGCTGTTCTGCCCACTCCCCCTCCTTAGTGTCTCTCATTGACCTTCTTTTCCATCCCCACTGCTGGACTGTCGCTGCCCCAGTATTCACTGACTTCCTGTTTCCTGTGAATAAAAGGAACTCCTTGTTGTTGGCGTGTAAAGCCCTGGCCCAGCAACACCGTCTCAGCTCCTCTGTCATGTGGGGCTACTTACAGTTCCCTGAACAGTCTATGCCTTCTCCGCCTGTCCCCCTTCTCCCCCATCTCTGACTGGAGAGCCCCCAGTCAGTCAGGGCAGCCCAGGTGCCTGTCTGTCCTGTGGGAAGGCTTATCCTTCCCATCTACCTCTACAGCTGGGTCCAGTGCCTCTCACAGGTCCCTGTCCTCCTGGCCCCCCTGATAGAACATTCATCTCACCATTTGGCAAGCCGGTTCAGGTCCAGGGCAGGCCTCTGATGGTGGGGCCAGTGGGTTATCCAGGACAGGCGCTTGGTGACGTGCCCTGAAAGGCTGGCTGGCTGAAGGAAAGCTTTCCTCCAGTGTCTCCCTTCGGTGTCATTAACACACAGTAGTTGAAAGCCTATTGCGGTGAAGCCTTGGCACACAATTTGTCTTTGCCTTCCTCTGCAAGCAGCTAAGCCCATTTTCTTCTGTCTTTAAAAAATTTTTTTATTTTTCATTTTATTTTTTAAGATTTTATTTATTTATTTTTAGAGAGAGGGGAAGGGAGGAAGAAAGAGAGGGAGAGAAACATCAAAGTATGGCTGCATCCCATGTGCCCTTTCACTGGGGACTCTGCCTGCAACCCAGGCATGTGCCCTGACTGGGTATCGAACTGGTGACCCTTTGGTTCACAGGCCAGCACTCAATCCACTGAGCCACACCAGCCAGGGCTTTTTCTTTTTTTTAAATCCTCACCCGAGGATATGTTTATTGATTTTTGAGAAAGAGAGAGAGAGAAACATTGATCA